TTCTCAATGCTTTGTTATATACCCTTTGTTGGCAATGACACAGGTCAAACGTTTTCTGTAAGTCTTCACAAGGTTTTCACACACTGTTGCTGGTATTTTGGCCCATTCCTCCATGCAGATCTCCTCTAGAGCAGTTATGTTTTGGGGCTGTCGCTGGGCAACACGGACTTTCAACTCCCTCCAAAGATTTTCTATGGGGTTGAGATCTGGAGACTGGCTAGGCCACTCCAGGACCTTGAAATGCTTCTTACGAAGCCACTCCTTCGTTGCCCGGGCGGTGTGTTTGGGATCATTGTCATGCTGAAAGACCCAGCCACGTTTCATCTTCAATGCCCTTGCTGATGGATGGAGGTATTCACTCAAAATCTCACGAAACATGGCCCCATTTATTCTTTCCTTTACACGGATCAGTCGTCCTGGTCCCTTTGCAGAAAAACAGCTCCAAAGCATGATGTTTCCACCCCCATGCTTCACAGTAGGTATGGTGTTCTTTGGATGCAACTCAGCATTCTTTGTCCTCCAAACATGACGAGTTGAGTTTTTACCAAAAAGTTATATTTTGGTTTCATCTGACCATATGACATTCTTCCAATCCTCTTCTGGATCATCCAAATGCACTCTAGCAAACTTCAGACGGGCCTGGACATGTACTGGCTTAAGCAGGGGGACACGTCTGGCACTGCAGGATTTGAGTCCCTGGCGGCGTAGTGTGTTACTGATGGTAGGCTTTGTTACTTTGGTCCCAGCTCTCTGCAGGTCATTCACTAGGTCCCCCCGTGTGGTTCTGGGATTTTTGCTCACCGTTCTTGTGATCATTTTGACCCCACTGGGTGAGATCTTGCGTGGAGCCCCATATCGAGGGAGATTATCAGTGGTCTTGTATGTCTTCCATTTCCTAATAATTGCTCCCACAGTTGATTTCTTCAAACCAAGCTGCTTACCTATTGCAGATTCAGTCTTCCCAGCCTGGTGCAGGTCTACAATTTTGTTTCTGGTGTCCTTTGACAGCTCTTTGGTCTTGGCTATAGTGGAGTTTGGAGTGTGACTGTTTGAGGTTGTGGACAGGTGTCTTTTATACTGATAACAAGTTCAAACAGGTGCCATTAATACAGGTAACGAGTGGAGGACAGAGGAGCCTCTTAAAGAAGAAGTTACAGGTCTGTGAGAGCCAGAAATCTTGCTTGTTTGTAGGTGACCAAATACTTATTTTCCACCATAATTTGCAAATTAATTCATTAAAAATCCTACAATGTGATTTTCTGGATTTTTTTTCTCAATTTGTCTGTCATAGTTGACGTGTACCTATGATGAAAATTACAGGCCTCTCTCATCTTTTTAAGTGGGAGAACTTGCACAATTGGTGGCTGACTAAATACTTTTTTTCCCCACTGTAGATGGGCACCGATTAGGTCACCTCTCTCTCGCTCCTTAGGTAACAGGTTCCTGCTTGATGTGTGTGGGCTACTCCGTCCTAACAGATGGCTTTCATAAGTTTTGTGTTGATGCGGCTAATAAGACTCAGATTCAATTCAAACACAATAACTACAACAAAGTTTATTGTCAAAGTTTCCAACACAACAACTTGTACTACACATGTTCTGCAACTTGACATGGTCACATGTCTTTTGTGCTGTTTGGCTGAGCTAGCCAAAGAAGCTGTGACTGCTTAGTTTTCCAGCTTTCAAGGATGACAGCTTCTGGGCCTCTTTCTGTATCTAGACTATACTCTTTGGCTGCAAGGAGGCACTGTAGGCTACTTGGTGAGTGAAATGAAGAAGTGCAGCTGTGTAGTGTGGCCTAACCTAACTCAAACAAACAAAAGACATGGCTGTCTATCATGCAGCTGCTTGGTGTGAGGCGACTGACATTGATTGTTTCTCACCTTGACACATACACACATACACACATACACACACATTTGATGTCAGATTGCCGATTACAGAAGCTGTACCCTGGGAAGTGGCAGGTTGCCAGATAAAAGTCACTGACTGATGTCCCTTTTTGACATAAGATTAACCCATAGTCTTGTTTCTATGACTATGATAACGTTGTAGCTCATCAGAAAATATGTATTGTGTTTCACGGAAATTAGAGGTAAACATCCCACTCTTTATGGGTCCGATGGTGCGACAGTGCAGCTGCTAGTGACCCCAAAAAGTATCTTCAAAATGTACTTTGAAGAGAGATAACTGTTTCACGGTGAATGAGACATGTCTATGAGATATAACATTGAATGTAATTGTGTGAAATACACTCTTAGAAAAAAGGGTTCCAAAGGGGTTCTTCGGCTGTCCCCATAGGACAACCATTTTTGGTTCCATGTAGAACCCTCTGTGGAAAGGGTTCTACATGGAACTCAAAAGGGTTCTACCTGGAACCAAAAAGGGTTCTTCAAAGGGTTCTCCTATGGGGACAGCCAAAGAACCCTTTTAGGTTCTAGATAGCACTTTTTTTCTAAGAGTGTAGACACTGATATGTGATGTACTGATTGAATTCAGCATAAGGCAAGCAAAGCTTACGACAGCATAATCTGCTAAACATTAAAGGAAGGTTTTCCAGCCAAGGATTAAACCTACTAGTCCTGAACTTAAAAAGTACTTTACATGGAGATTCTCAATTGAGTCCAGGACTAGGCTTAATCTGGGTCAGGGAAACTGTCCCTCAACCCTTAAAGGCCTAATGCAGCAGTTTTTATCTCAATATCATCACCAGTCTGAGTGAGGGACCTAATTGGAGTGGCCTAATGGGAGGGATATGTTACCTGAAAACGAGCTGTTATTGGCAGAGAGGTTTGGAACTCTCTTTGTTATTGGTCTGAAATGTCAGGCTATCTTTTCAAACAGCTCTTACACTAAAAGGGCATTATCATCATTTTCACAATTTCACAATATTATTTCAACCTCATAGTGTGGAAATAGCATATAAACACAGGGAAATCAGGTATTTGACTACACTGGCCATTTAAAACAGCCTAGCTCTAACTTTTCTCTATTTTTCCCCCTTTTACATTGAAAGATGTGAAGATAAAGCGAGGGATACTTGCAGAAGTTCCCCCCGCAGGCGAAACCCTAATTTAAAGTCCCCAGGTCCTTCACATTATGTTTGTGAATGTAGAACACGCCATTGAGGATATCGGCCTTTGAGTAATGACCTGACGGATTAGGGCTATTTCCCCTGGGCCAGAGGGCCTTCCTCCACAGTGCTGTGCTTTGCTGAGGAGCTTTTCCACCCAAAGTTGATATACAGTACATGCACCAAAAATATATTAAACATGCTCCACATTTTACCAGTATTTTCCAGTTTTAAGATGTTGCAATGCTAACCATGTCCTATAAATTTGTTTTTTATGCCAATGCTGCAAATCTATTTTAGATACTTCCATGTTCATTTTAGACATTGATTTAGCTGAGATTCCACTTCTCAGCATCTGAGCAAGCATATAGTTTTTTGCACATACTTTTCATCCGCTGCACCAAAATGTTTTATCCTAGTTTTTAAAGGACTCTTCAAGTGCGAGTGACCAATTTTTTAAAAACAAACTTGCAGGAGTCAACATCGGGTTTTTAAGCTGTACAGGGAGGCAGAAGCTGCTATATCATATCAAACTGTCATTCTGTACTACATGAAGCTTTGAATGGTGGAGCAGAAACATGAAAAACAACATTTGTCTTCTTGACCCAAAATACCTTGACCTTAGCCTAGATGCAAGAATTTACATTTGCTGATGAACTTCTTACTGCAAATTAAATTCACATGGACATTTTAAGATATGGCACCACAAGGGTGCATGCTCAGCCCACTCCTGTACTCCCTGTTCACCCATGACTGCGTGGCAACGCACGCCTCCAACTCAATCATCAAGTTTGCAGAAGACACAACAGTAGTAGGCTTGATTACCAACAATGACGAGACAGCCTACAGGGAGGAGGTGAGGGCCCTGGGAGTGTGGTGCCTGGAAAATAACCTCTCACTCAACATCAACAAAACAAAGGAGCTGATCGTGGACTTCAGGAAACAGCAGAGGGACCACGCCCCTATCCACATCGACGGGACTGCAGTGGAGAAGGTGAGAAGCATCAAGTTCCTCAGCGTACACATCACTGACGATCTGAAATGGTCCACCCACACAGACAGTGTGGTGAAGAAGGCGCAACAGCGCCTCTTCAACCTCAGGATTATACCCTTTTGATCACACTGGTATTCCTCATTGGTAGAATCATCTGAGAATTTGATTGCATAAGTGTTTTGGAACAGTTGCATAATAAACAGCTCCCTCCAATGTGAAAACCTGACTAAAATATTGAGACTCAAGGTTATAGCACAATCTGACAGTGCTGAAAGATGCTGTGGACCAGCTCTGCACCGAGGTGTTTATCTGTGTTAATGATAAAAGCCATCTGTACTCACTGTACCATGCAAACCATCCACAATTTAGAGTGTATGGGTAATGCATTATTCTATTTATATTTGACTGCTGATTCATTCATACATTTTTATGTAGACATTTTGTGCAGGATAATCCCCTCTTTTGAGAGAGTCCGTAATTGCCTGTAGCCACAGATCTACAACAATAATAATTTGGTGGGTGCTTATAATTGTTTGTCCAATTTTTTTTTTCATATCCCAACTCCCCCTGAGACACCCTACGAGAGTGGGATCACAGGTTACCCTATCCCAATCCTAGCCTTATCATTTCGGTTGAAACCACTGGCATTAGATCTAGTGAAATGAAATAGGCTACTTCATGCCGCCATATTGTTCTATAATAGCGTTATACATTACGTTTTTACACACAATGTGCTATATGCTACATAATTTGTTGTTTGACGTCAGTCAAATGTAGGCTACTTTTCAATAAAAGGTTGTGAGCTTAATCAGAAAATGCCTCTAAGGTTAAAATACATTTAACGGGCTTAGGCTACAGTAATATGCTAAACTCATGGTTAACTCATAAAGATACGTATTTTGTAAGAACACATCCATCTATTGATCTGTAGCCTATGAACAGTCAGGAAAGTGTGGCAGGATGCCACCTGGACGACGTCCATGAAAACCACGCCTGTCCCAAACCCTTCGCCGCTTCTAAATCCATCGACCTTATTCTCCAATCTTTCTGGAAGGACGAAGTCAGGGTGGACGATACCAGAATGGCAAGCTAAATTATCTTTAAGAAACCGTTATACCTCCTGAGTAGTTTTAGGCTAGGTTCTGTATTTATTTATAGTCATTAAAATATTAGCTACACCTGTGCTCGAGACATGTAGGCTGGCTAACATATCCCAGGCTTTGAATTGAACTTGCTGGTGATGATGCTCGTGGATCATGACTGTTCTGGGACTGATGTTCGGTTGGTTTGTCATCTCAACAAGGGTATGAGGATTCAACCAGGGATGTGCAGCGGAGGGACCGAGCAGCAACGAGGATGTAAAACTGGAGACGTCAACGAAAATATTGTTTGTCTGCAATCTCAGGATGAAACGGGACGGGTGTGTCCTGGAAGCCCAGCACTAGCGACAGACACGCGGCTATCCTCCTGTTCCACAGCAGGTAAAGTCCAAAGAAAGCATTGTATATTTATTCTATAAGGTTTTCAAGGTAGGCTACAAGAGATGAATGAAGACAAACGAATAATGTATCCCCTTCACACAGGAGCGCTTATATCTGATTCTGAAGTGTTGGTGCATGTGTGGTGATACAATGTAGCTAAGTTTACAGTGCGCATACAATTTACACTAACATCCCACATTAACTTTAAATTAACAATTTAAGAGCAGCCATAAGAAAGCACATAGATGCTTAATATAAATCATGTATAGTCCTGATGTAGCCTACATGTGATTGTTTTTCTATAGGCCCCACTCTGAGAGTTATTAAACATGACATTTTTTATTTCCCTTGATGACCCAGATTTAATTGGTTATTTCTCAGCTCATCAGCCATAGGTTTCAGGGTTGATTTTTCATTTGACTGGGTGACCCTCATAATCTTAGCCAGCAAAGCTGCTCCCTATTCACATTCATCCATTATGGAGAGTCATTGACATGCATGCACACCAGTATTCCAATATGACACCAAGTGTGGAAATACAAGATGTGAGTCTTTTAAACCTTTTGCATCATGTTATCTGAAGTAGGCCTAAGTAATTGTTTGTAAATGTTGGCACCCTTTCCCCTCAATATAATTAGCGAAGTTTCCAAAATGTGAATGCATTTTTGCTAATAAATGACTATTGCATCTTTTGAGCAGTCTGACTCAACATAGGTCTTGTAGTGGACGTGGAGACAGTATTGCATTTTAGGACCAATTGAGTGTGCCTTTACTTTAGACACATGTTGGATAGTTAGGCAAAATGTTTTCAGAGTGGCGACAACAAACATCCCCCTGAATGAAATAAATGTATCTCTGAGTACAGTATCGATTATATTGCAGCACTTTCCCCATCCCAGACACAAAAGTCTGTCCAAAAAATAGACGTTATTTATTTAGTAAGCTTCAGCAGCCTCTGGCAAGATTTAGCTCCTCCATAAAAGCGAATCGAACCAATGGGGGTGTTTTTGTCTTCTGCTCTAAAACACAAAAATGTCCTCCAAGAAACGCTGAAGCTGTAAATTGACTACTGTGTGTGACCTTGCATGATTTTTTCTGCGATAAATCCAGGTTATCTGGGGTGAATGAAAATGTCCTTGAAGGTTGAGTGTGATGTGAGAGTAGCTCTGTTCAAGGGGAACCAATGATGATGTTGTCTTTCCAGACCGTGAACCAAGCAGTGGCAGTTACAACGTCTCCACTGGAACTGGAACCTTTTACAGCTGCGTCAGTCAGATCACCATCGGTAATTGCACTTTACAGAATGTCTTACCCTATATCCAAAAGAGACCGCAAGGGGAGGCTATTGTCACGATCGTTATATGGAGTAGACCAATGCGCAGAGTTAGTTGCAAACATATTATTTATTTAATGAATGCACGAACAAAACAACAAAACGAAAACGTGACGTCCTCGGTATAACACAACCGACACGGCAACAAACCAAAACGGAACAAGATCCCACAAACACAAAGGGAAAACCGACAGTTGAAATATGGCTCCCAATCAGAGACAACCAGCAACAGCTGACACTCGTTGCCTCTGATTGGGAGCCACTCTGGCCAACATAGAAATAGCACCCATAGAATACACCATAGAACAAAAACACATAGAACTTACACACCCTGGCTCAACATATAGAGTCCCCAGAGCCAGGGTGTGACAGTACCACCCCCCCCAAAGGCGCGGACTGCGACCGCGCCTGAACATCAACAAACCAGGGGAGGGCTGGGTGGGCATTCCTCCTCGGAGGCGGTTCCGGCTCCGGGCTAGACCACCACCCTCTAATAATCCCCCCGTAGCGCCCCTGGTCCGGTCTGGCCCCGCTGGCTGGAGCTGAACTGGACATCGTAGGAGCGGATAGCTTCAGCTCCGGTGTGGAGCAGCTGACCGGTACCTGACCAGGCACCGGTGACCCAGGCACGGGTTGTGCCGGACTGACGACGCACACCCCTGGCTTGGTGCGTGGAGCAGGAACGGGCCGGACCGGGCTGACGATGCGCACCCCTGGCTTGGTGCGTGGAGCAGCTACGGGCCGGACCGGGCTGACAATGCGCACCCCTGGCTTGGTGCGTGGAGCCGGAACGGGCCTTACCGGGCTGACGACTCGCACCCCTGGCTTGGTGCGTGGAGCAGCAACGGGCCGGACCGGGCTGACGATGCGCACCCCTGGCTTGGTGCGTGGAGCCGGAACGGGCCTTACCGGGCTGACGACTCGCACCCCTGGCTTGGTGCGTGGAGCAGCAACGGGCCGGACCGGGCTGACGATGCGCACCCCTGGCTTGGTGCGTGGAGCAGGAACGGGCCTTACCAGGCTGACGTCTCGCACCCCTGGCTTGGTGCGAGTAGCAGGAACAGGCCGGGCCGGGCTGGCGACGCGCACCGTAGGCTTGGTGCGAGTGGCAGGAACAGGCCGGGCCGGGCCGGCGACGCGCACCGTAGGCTTGGTGCGAGTAGCAGGAACAGGCCGGGCCGGGCTGGCGACGCGCACCGTAGGCTTGGTGCGAGTGGCAGGAACAGGCCGGGCCGGGCTGGCGACGCGCACCGTAGGCTTGGTGCGAGTGGCAGGAACAGGCCGGGCCGGGCTGGCGACGCGCACCGTAGGCTTGGTGCGAGTGGCAGGAACAGGCCGGGCCGGGCTGGCGACGCGCACCGTAGGCTTGGTGCGAGTGGCAGGAACAGGCCGGGCCGGGCTGGCGACGCGCACCGTAGGCTTGGTGCGAGTGGCAGGAACAGGCCGGGCCGGGCTGGCGACGCGCACCGTAGGCTTGGTGCGAGTGGCAGGAACAGGCCGGGCCGGGCTGGCGACGCGCACCGTACACTTGGTGCGAGGAGCAGGAACAGGCCGGGCCGGGCTGGCGACGCGCACCGTACACTTGGTGCCAGGGGCAGGAACAGGCCGGACCGTACTGGGAACACACACCACTGGCCTTAAACGGGAATCAGGAACGGGCCGGACCGGACTGGCAATACACCTCAGTACCTCTCGCCGCGCCTCTACATCTTCCTTCCCTCCTCTCACCAATGGCTCCCGTAACCTGGTGGCCTTCTGAATTCGCCCCTTGTCTGCCTCCGTCAGCCCCGTCGTCCATGCCCTGTGCCCCCCCCTAAAAATGTTTTGGGGTTGCCTCTCGTCCGTCCGACGACGACACTGATTACGCCGTTGCTCCTCTCTCCGTCACGCCTCTACCGTCTCCTTCCATGGCCGGCGATCCATCCCGGCCTGGATTTCCTCCCAGGTCCAGGACCCCTGCCCGTCCAAGATCTGCTCCCACGTCCAGGCTGCCTGCTCCTGGACACGCTGCTTGGTCCAGTGTTGGTGGGATCTTCTGTCACGATCGTGATATGGAGTAGACCAATGTGCAGCGTTAGTTGCAAACATATTATTTATTTAATGAATGCACGAACAAAACAACAAAAAGAAAACGTGACGTCCTCGGTATAACACAACCGACACGGCAACAAACCAAAACGGAACAAGATCCCACAAACACAAAGGGAAAACAGACAGTTGAAATATGGCTCCCAATCAGAGACAACCAGCAACAGCTGACACTCGTTGCCTCTGATTGGGAGCCACTCTGGCCAACATAGAAATAGCACCCATAGAATACACCATAGAACAAAAACACATAGAACTTACACACCCTGGCTCAACATATAGAGTCCCCAGAGCCAGGGTGTGACAGCTATATTTGGTTTGGTGGGAAAAAGTCACGCTGAAACTTTCAGAAATGTGTGGAAAATAGACCCTGTGTGAAAACGGTGACCAAGCCAAGAAATCAACCAAAAATAAGTCTATCCTTTATCAGGTAGAAGTACACAAGAGCCAATATCATGCATATTTTATACCTGCACATGAACAATTCCTCAGGTGCTGTATGTGGAGTTCTTGACAATGAAATTGATATAGAGTAGCCTAGATAAAAAGCTAATGTTAATGGCTGCATGGATGAGTTTTTGACCAAGCACAAGTCGTTCACAGATTGATCATTCTAAATGTAGCCCACATGCTTTACCTTGAGACAAATCAATAGCCTTCCTCAAAAAGCTACCTTCAGAGGAGTCAATATACCGCCTGGACGAGCGTGATTTAAAAGCTTTCCCCATTGTTTGGCCAGAATAGGGTAATCAGCATTAGTATGGGTCCCCTAAAGCACTAATGGAAGATCAGTCTCCCCTAATTCAACCCTAACGGTTTGTTCTAGTCTTTACTGTAGTAAGTGCTGTTGAAAATTGGAAATGAATAAGCGTATTATAACCATGGACAATTCCTGGATTACAAGCAAATGGTGTTCTAAAGTGATGATCTACATCTAATCAAATTTATTGAATTGATTTATTGATGCAGAATATTAGCCTGGTCAAACATACTGACTGCTGCACTCACCATTGTTTGACTTCACTTATTGACCAGGCCAGCTGATCACAGCCCATGATGAATCCAGATACACTTCTATTTTACTGTAAACAAATTGACAACAGACTTTCAGCATGGGCTATGAGGTCGAAGGAGTTGTCCGTAGAGCTCAGAGACAGGATTGTGTCGAGGCACAGATCTGGGGAAGGGTACCAACACATTTCTGTAGCATTGAAGGTCCCCAAGAACACAGTGGCCTCCATCATTCTTAAACGGAAGAAGTTTGGAACCACCAAGACACTTCCTAGAGCTGGCCACCCGGCCAAACTTAGCAATCGGGGGAGAAGGGCCTTCGTCCGGGAGGTGACCAAGAACCCGATGGTCACTCTGACAGAGCTTCAGAGTTCCTCTGTGGAGATGGGAAAACCTTCCAGAAGGACAACCATCTCTGCAGCACTCTACCAATCAGGCCTTTATGGTAGAGTGGCCAGACGGAAGCCACTCCTCAGTAAAAGGCACATAACAGCCTGCTTGGAGTTTGCCAAAAGGCACCTAAAGGACTCTCAGACCATGAGAAACAAGATTCTCTGGTGTGATGATACCAAGATTGAACTCTTTGGCCTGAATGCCAAGCGTCACGTCTGGAGGAAACCTGGCACCATCCCTAGGGTGAAGCATGGTGGTGGCAGCATCATGCTGTGGGGATGTTTTTCAGCGGCAGGGACTGGGAGACTAGTCAGGATCGAGGGAAAGATGAACGGAGCAAAGTACAGAGAGATCCTTGATGAAAACCTGCTCCAGAGCACTCAGGACCTCAGACTGGGGTGAAGGTTCACCTTCTAACAGGACAACGACCCTAAGCACACAGCCAAGACAATGCAGGAGTGGCTTTGGGACAAGTCTCTGAATATCCTTGAGTGGCACAGCCAAAGCCCGGATATGAACCCCATCGAACATCTCTGGAGAGACCTGAAAATAGCTGTGCAGCGACGCTCCCCATCCAACCTGACAGAGCTTGAGAGGATCTGCAGAGAAGAATGGGAGAAACTCCCCAAATACTGGTGTGCCAAGCTTGTAGCATCATACCCAAGAAGACTTGATGCTGTAATCGCTGCCAAAGGTGCTTCAACAAAGTACTGAGTGAAGGGTCTGAATACTTATGTAAATGTGATATTTCCATTTTTTTTTTTTATAAATTAGCAAAATTTATAACAACCTGTTTTTGCTTTGTCATTATGGGGTATTGTGTGTAGATTGGTGAGGGGGAAAAAACAATTTAATCACTTTTAGAATAAGGCTGTAACGTAACAAAATGTGGAATAGGTCAAGGGGTCTGAATATTTTCTGAAGACACTGTGTGGTAGTCGAGTAGTGGCCTGAGGGAACACACTTAATGTGTTGTGAAAAGTGTTAGGAAATGTAATTTCATGTAATATGTTGCCTTAATGCAACATTATATATATATATATATATATATTTTATATTTTTATATTTGTGTATTGTTGTGAATTGTTAGATACTACTGCACTGTTGGAGCTAGGAACACAAGCATTTCACTACAATATGTGAATGTGACCAATACAATTTGATTTGATTTAATGTTGCTGGACCCCAGAAAGAGTAGCTGCTGCATAATGGGGATCCTTAGTAAATACCAAATAATACAAATCTAGCCCAATTCTAGGCACCTGCATTGTAGTGTACCTTGGTCCCTCTAAGAGGCAGGAAGTGCTGGCGGTGGGGATCTGGGCCTCACGTTCCTCAGAGAGCTAGGCAGGGCATTTTTTTGTGATGACTGCGACAGAGATGTTGCTTAGAACACACTGTATCATTCAAACGGCTCGTTGCATGGATGGTTTTAGAGGACACCCTGAAGCACACGCAGGTGGTGTGGATTACCTTGTATGCTATAGCATTTCAAGTGGTATACAGTTGCAATGGCAATGGAGATTGAGATTTCCCAGGGACCCACTACGTTTGCAATGATAAGAATAAAGATTTATGTTAATGAATAAATAGTAGTAATAAAGTTGCCACCCGAAGAAGCTAAACTTTTTTCCTACATTAATTACATTTTAGCACTTGCTTCAGTGTAATATATACCCTTCTATAAAAATGCAATGAATAATGTATTACTGTCTACTGATGCTTTACACAGCATTAATACGAAGGCTGCTAGCAACACCAAATACAAAGTGCCCCTGGTTCCTGGTCTCCAAATGTATGTTTTGAGATGTCCTGTGTAGACCAAGCAGAAATGCGTCCAGCTGCCAGATTCATGCTCTGTCTTATTGAGCGTACTGTGCTTCTTTCTCAGTTAAAGATTTGCTGCTGATGTGTACTAAAAGTATGTGGATACCTGCTCGTCGAACATTCATTCCAAAATCATGGACATTAATATGGAGTCGGTCCCCTCTTTGCTGCTATAATAGCCTCCATTCTTCTGGGAAGGCTTTCCACTAGATTTTGGAACATTGCTGTGGGGACTTCCTTCCATTTAGTCACCAGCATTAGTGAGGTCGGGCAATGATGTTGGGCAATTAGGCCGGCTCGCAGTCGGCATTCCAATTAATCCTGAAGGTGTTCGATGGGGGTTGAGGTCAGGGCTCTGCAAGCCAGTCAAGTTCTTCCACACCGATCTCGACCAAACATTTCTGTATGGACCTCACTTTGTGCACGGGAGCATTGTCATGCTGAAACATGAAAGGGCCTTCTCCAAACTGTTGCCACAAAGTTGGAAGCACAGAATCGTCTAGAATGTCATTGTATGCTGTAGCGTTAAGATGTCCCTTCACTGGAACGAAGGGCCTAGCCCGAACCATGAAAAACAGCCTTAGACCATTATTCCTGCTTCACCAAACTTTACAGTTGGCACTATGCACCCAGGCAGGTAGCGTTCTCCTGGCATCCGCCAAACCCAGATTCATCCGTCGGACTGCCAGACAGTGAAGCTTGATTCATCACTCCAGAGAACGCGTTTCCACTGCTCCAGAATCCAATGGCTGCGAGCTTTACACCACTCCAGCCCACACTTGGCATTGCGCATGGTGATTTTAGGATTGTGTGGGGCTGCTCGGCCATGGAAACCCATTTCATGAAGCTCCCAACAAACAGTTATTGTGCTGACGTTGCTTCTAGAGGCAGTTTGGAACTCGGTAATGAGTGTTGCAACCAATGTCAGACAATTTATACACGCTACGTGCTTCAGCACTCTGTGGTCCCGTTCTGTGAGCTTGTGTGCCCTACCACTTCACGGCTGAGCCGTTGTTGCTCCTAGACGTTTCCACTTCACAATAACAGCACTTACAGTTGACCGGGGAAACTCTAGCAGGGCAGAAATTTGACCAGCTGACTTGTTGGAAAGGTGGCATCCTATGACAGCGCCACTTTGAAAGTCACTGAGCTCTTCAGTATGGGCCATTCTACTGCCAATGTTTGTCTGTGGAGATTGCATGGACGTGTGCTCGATTTTATACACCTGTCAGCAACGGGTGTGGCTGAAATAGCCGGATCCACTAATTTGAAGTAGTGTATCTTATAAATGTGCTGGGGTAGTGTCTCCAGAAAAGCTAAAGAAGGCTTCCCTCCTCTCTGTGGTGTGCTGCCTGTTGAGCCTGGACAGAGGGAGAGAGAGACATCTTCCCTCCTCTCTGTGGTGTGCTGCCCGTTGAGCCTGGACAGAGGGAGAGAGAGACATCTTCCCTCCTCCCTGTGGTGTGCTGCCTGTTGAGCGTGGACAGAGGGAGAGAGACATCTTTCCTCCTCTCTGTGGTGTGCTGCCTGTTGAGTATGGACAGAGGGAGAGAGACATTTGTGTTCATACAATGTCTTTAGGATTGTTGGGTTTGTTGGCAACCTTCCTGTGGTATGCTTCAAAAGCAAAGTCAATTTCATAAAGTAAACTCAGTTAAATCAATTCAAGTTAAATGTACACTATGCAGCACGCTATCAATGTTACTATATTTTTCTTTGAAGGAATTTTATTTATTTAATTCTACAGCTTTTACAGAATTTACGGACTTCCACAAAGGTGCTTGCAGGTGGAAATGTTGCACAACACACCTTTTAATATAGATTTAGTTGTCAACCGTCAAAACATAGTTTTTGTCATAAGTAGCTTCCTCATACTTAGTTATGATACTTCCCAAGATGTATGTGGAAGTAGACCACTCACAAACGAGGAACGGAGATGGACTCATCAGACAAGGGAAAGGACAGTCATGGAGTTGGCAAAATCAACCACTAGAGAGCAGCATTGTTATGGACATAGCCACCCCATTTTTCCTTTTGAACTGGGAGAGCGAAATATGTCAGCATTTTGCTAAATTGCTTAAACTAGGGAAGCAGAACCCTGCATTTCTGAGATATGGGAAATGTAATTGTTAGTGGAAACTCACTCCTCCAGAGAGCAACAACCTTAGTTTCATTATGAAACAGGAAATTATTTTATTAATATCACTAATTTCCCTTTTCAAGGAATAGGATTTTTCTGCAATGTCTGACTTTCTGGGAACTATTCAATATCAAGGATTTTCAAAGAACCCTGACATTGCTATAAGAGAAATTGACTAAGTATGCAAGTTGCAAGGACAATTACAATCACATTACAAAAACAATCACATTCGCATGCTTTCCATGGTTATGTGCTATAGGAGGGGAGTCTTGAGAAACTCTTTCAGTCTGAGATATTAATATTCCCTACAGGGTTTGATCTCGGGGGCCAAGTGGCCATTGGTATCTCCCATTGGAAGAGTCCATTCCCTCCCAGAGGTCACCCCCTGTGTGACAGTCCTGATGGGGTTCGCTCCGAGGCCTCCGCCGCCGCGGCTCCGCAACTCCCTGAGTACCCAGAGCCAGTGTCCTGTCCTGCCTCCCTGTCAATCAACCCTGTATCATCCCACTGCAGCGCCAGCCAGGAGACCATCAGCGACAGCCAGGAGACCATCAGCGACAGCAGCACAAGTAAGGTTTCACCTTTCAACTTTGAACCCTGACTTCATTCTAATTTCAGCCATGTGGTTTGGTCCCTAAGAAGCCAGTCTAGAAACGGCTTATCCTGCCAAAGCTCAGAACCTTTGCCGTTGACAGTAATCGGTGTAGATGGCAGTAGTGAGAGCCATCAGGAGATGTATACTGAACGAAAATATAAATGCAACATGCAACAATTTCATTGATTTTACTGAGTTACAGTTCATATAAGGAATAGAGTCATATATTTGTGTTTATATTTGTGTTTACAGAGTTTATATTTGTGTTCAGTATAGATGTGATAATGACAGTAGTGTCTGTGCTTTTGTGAGTTAGGCCAGTACAGTGTTTATCAGTGCCAATGGTGATGAGTCATATCGAGTCAGTCTGTTGGTTCTGAGTTACACATAAGAGAGTATCCTGGAATCACATTATAGGATGAACACACCTGGGTCGTTCCATGTCATTTCAGCAAGCCATGACACCCACTACCTCAGATTGTTCTGAAATTGTTTCTTTAGTTAGAAACAGATAAGATGTCCTGCAACATTATTTTTTGAAATATAATTTTTTGAAAATCATTTGATATCTGAGACATTAAGCTAATGGATTGCACCCAAATTGGCCATTTTTTATTTATTGGATTCATATAGTACCTAACATCCGATTTGGACCCAACTTTTTTCTAACAATGAGTAAGACATGAGGAATCCAAAGAAATAGTCATAAGCCACCAACGGGGTCCCCACGCCAATCCCACCCCAATAATGAGTATAAAGTATCAGTTCTCTGACTGACAAGTAGTATGGAGCTGCGGCTCTGAGTATTGTTTCTTCATCCTATGTAATGTATTCTCAGTAAATTTGGTGATGTTTTTTTTCCCCTGTTCAGAGAAATGTGTCATTGAAGTTTGATAGGTATATGTCCCATCCTACATCCTTTTATTACCAGGTTCTTACCACTAGATTGTTAATGCTATGAATTGACTTTTTTTTTAAGAATCCCCCTCCCCCTCAATGTTAAAGGGATATTTCACCCAAATTACAAAAAAATATATATATATCCTTACCCTGTAAGCAGTCTATGGACAAGGTATGACAGCAATCCATGCTTTGGTTTTATTTACCTTGTGTGACTGTCCTTATCTATCAGTGTATCAGTGTTTTGTTACTTGTCATGTTTTGTATTTTTTGTGGACCCCAGGAAGAGTAGCTGTGACTTCTGCAAAAGCTAATGGGGATTATAATAAACAAACAAACCTGGCCACTATTTCAAATGCTAACTTTTTAGCATTTGTGGCACAAATCCAATGCAAGTCAATGGTACCTATATTAGCATTTTCGCGCTTCATGTCCAAATCATCTATAAGTAACATCATTGAGTTACACAATCCATTTTGTGTTACTTTAGGATCATTTGGATATGAAGTGTGAAAATGCTAATATAGGTACTATTGACTTGCATTGGATTTCTGACACAAATGCTAAAAAGTTAGCATTGAAACAGTGGCCAACAAATCAAAGCATGGGTTGCTGACATACCTTGTCCATAGACTGCTTACAGGGTAAGGAAACCAATATGTAATTTTGTAATTTGGGTGAACTATCCCTTTAACATTTATGGGGGGGATTCTTCAATATTTTCTCACCTAATAGCAGGAACAGCACCATCTAGTGGTCAGAACCTGGTGATATCCGGATGTAGGATGGGACATAAACCTAACAACTTCAATGACTAATTTCTCTGAACAGGGGAAAAAAAACATCAACAAATTCTCTGGGAATACATTACATAGGATGAAGAAACAATACTCAGAGCCGCAGCTCCATACTACTTGTCAGACATAGAGAACTGATACTATATACATTTTCGTACATTTTACATTTGAGTTATTTAGCAGACGCTCTTATCCAGAGCGACTTACAGGAGCATTAGGGTTAAGTGCCTTGCTCAAGGGCACATCGACAGATTTTTTACCTATTTGACTCTGGGATTTGAACCAGCGACCTTTCAGTTACTGGCCTAACGCTACCTGCTGCTAGGCTACCTGCCACCTCTATATACTAGTTGATGGGGTGGGATTGGCATGGGTGTGGGTGATCCGTGAGTGGCTTTTGAACATTTCTTTGGACAACTCATTGTTAGTAAAAAAGTTTATTAGGTACTATATTTATTGAATATTATATGAATCCTAAACATTGAAAATGGCCAATTTGGGTGCAATCAATTAGCTTAATTTTTCAGATCAAATTATATTTCAACAAAAGAATGTTGCAGGAATGCTAATCTTATCTGTTTCTAACAACCAAAACAATTTCAGAACTTTTTGAGGTGGAACGACCCACCTCTGACCTTTTGAAATAATATGTGGAGGCTTTCCACTTTATTGGTTGACTGTGGATCTAAATATGTGTCAATATTAGAATGGAATATTTGAAACACCATACTGTACGTCACAAAATCTAACAATGCTGGAAATAATTCAGTGCTGAAACAAATATGATTGTTACACACACACACACACACACACACACAGTGCATTTCTGGTTAGCACACTGTGTTCCAGTTGGATCCTGCATGAAAACTAACAAATTGTTAAAATAGTGTTACTAACATGGTAAAGCGTACAGCAGACTTTTGAAAACACACTTTTGGAAAGCAGCCAGCTATTATATATGTAGGGTTTGTTTAATTTGCAGTAGCGTGACACTCACTCTGAGTATTGCATGCAAGTAGAGTGACTAATGGTAGAATTCTCTAAGGGATTCCTCCTTTAAAAGATACACACTGTATTTGTGAATGTGCATTTGTGTGAGGTGCTGGCTTTTAAAGAACACATTGACACCCAGAGCAGCAACAACTGTCATTCCTTTGGTCAACAACGACACTGATACAGCCAGCCCTGCTCCGATTGGCTACCCTCAAAGCTCCTCTCCCACGGATTGGCTGACGGGTTGACTGATAAAGAATACTGATTGTCTTGCAGCTCTCTAGCTCTCCCCCCTCGCTCTCTCCCTCTCTGCATAAACATTCTGCTTGTATTTTTCCCTGAGAGAGGATCTAAGCTGGTCTCCATCTGTTTCTTCCTGAGCTTTGCCTCGTGCCGACTGGACAGAGGTTTATATAATCTGAGGGATGTTTTGAGGATGAGCGGAGTGTGTGTTTCACTGTGAGTGTGTGTGTGTGTGAGAGCGTGCGGGAGCTCAGGAGCTAGAGCAGAGTGCTGCGGTGCTCGGGAGTGGAGGTAAATATTGTGAATGCAGCTGATCGCCTCTGCAGAAGGTCGTTTTCCTTTTCCCGCTGCGGGGTCTTTAGTACCGGAGCCAAGTTTTGCTAGTTGTAGCTACTGTAGTGCTTGTGGAGCCTCCACTGGGGCGGCCCCGGGGCTGTGTTGTCCTCTCCTCCTGTTGCCCTCTGAGGGGTTGAAGCTCTCCCCCGCTCCACCTCGCATGGTGAGTGCTGCAGGCAACTTGTTTTAGACCCACAGCAGTGTTTTTTTCTCTGTAGTGGTTTTGCTGCAGTGATTCTCTCTCTCTCTGTCGTTCTCTCTCCCCCTCTCTCTCTCTCTCTCTCTCTCTCTCTCTCTCTCTCTCTCTCTCTCTCTCTCTCTCTCTCTCTCAATGACCCACATGTACTCTTCTCCTTTTACTGTCTATTTTCTCTGTTCTCTTTTCATACTGTTGTGTTCCTGAACCATACAGGCGTTTGACCTTCACACACATACACACACTCTCTCTCCCTCTTTCTCCCATCTCTCCTTAGCTCCCGTTCCCCCCTTCTCTCTCTCTCTCCCCGTATCGCCCTCCCACACGGTTTCACTACGGGGGTTGTAAATGAGCTGTGTGTCCTAAGTGTAGCACTCCTCCATTATGCATGGTTCAGGGAAGGAGAAGTGGGTCAGGGATCAGTGGAGACACTGTGTGTCCGTGCTCCGTTGCCCGTCTGGCAGGCGTGAAACGGCCATTGTGTTGCCCTGGGGCCTGACGGAGCCTGGAGGTCTGTTGTCCCCTGACTGTGCTGATGTAGTGGTCCAGAACCATCCTCTGTCTTCCTGATTCCTGGTCGCCATGGCAACCCCCCCCCCCACCCCCCCACCCCCACCCCCACCCAACCACCCCCACACCCTTTTTTTTTTCTTTTTTTTTCGCTCAGTTACCCAACCAGCTAGCCTTCTGTGAGCTGTCATGCTAAGGCAAGGTTATGTCATATGAAATGAGGAGGTATTAGTGATCTCATTAAGGAATACTTTTTCGCAAGAAGGATTTCTCTACTGACAATCATCAGTGGCTTATGATTCAGGGTTACAAATCAACTAGCTATACTGTTATACTGTAAAATATTTTGTTCAGTTCAAAAGTCGTTGTCGCAGCATAACTAGCAGTTCATACACTTGCAAATGGGAGACAACATCTTAATATGGTGGTTCAAAAAAGTTTTATTGTACCCAAGAATGTAATGCAATGTAACTCACCATTGTTGCATCAGTGGGAGCCTGGAAGCCCTGGGCTTGTTTCCTGCTTCCTGATGCATGGAGAAGTCCGCTAACTATCTATTTGAAAGCCAAAGGAAACTAGAGGGCTTCTAACTTTGACTATTTATTATAATAATAATAATAATATGCCATTTAGCAGACGCTTTTATCCAAAGCGACTTACAGTCATGTGCGCATACATTTTTACGTATGGGTGGTCCCCGGGGATCGAACCCACCACCCTGGCGTTACAAGCGCCATGCTCTACCAATTGAGCTACAGAGGACCACATTCCATTCTAACCTTACTTCTGATTCAAATATTCTCATGTAGCCTAGATTGTTGGGTTAATCAGTGTCTGACTGGGTATCATGCAACATTGGCTGTAGTCTGTCCTGTTCAACAGCTCTAGATTATTATTATTATTACATATATTTTACCCCCTTTTTCTCCCCAATTTCGATCTTGTCTCATCGCTGCAACACCAGGGTTGTGGGTTTGATTCCCACGTGGGACCAGTACGGGAAAAGTACGAAAATGTATGCACTCACTACTGTAAGTTGCTCGGGCTAAGAGTGTCTGCTAAATGACTAAAGTGTATGTGTGCTGCTGCCCAGTGGTCATTCAGAGGCAACAAAACCACTGTCGTTAATTATTGATGAATTTCTGTTTCTCTATGGACACCTAGGCTTCTATCATCTGTCATAGATCAACCTAATGGTCTATTAGTAGGCCAATCATCTTGTCATGTTCAATATTTGTAATTTTCCAGGGTATAGTCTACTGACTAGTTAATATAAAGCATGTAGAGACATAACCTTTTATAAAGTATATCTTAAATGTAAAGTGTTTTCTCAATGTTGTGACTTGTGCTTAATTTTGAACTTAGAGGGTACTGTGGTAGTCATAGAAACAGCATGAAATAAACCTTGCGTTTGGAATTAGCAGGTCATTGGATTTTGATGGGCACAGATTTAATTTTAAAGTGTGCAAATGATATGCTTTGATATGTAAATTCACACCGGCAGAGCTACATTAGACAACTCTTTCAAATGTAATGTTATTATGGAAGGAATCAATCTATTTCTATAGTGCCCTAGCTTTTATCACTCACATCTCCTTTGGGGCTGCTCTAACCTCTACTCGCGCTATAAAATACCTCCTAGCCGCTGACGGTTGAGTGAAACGTTTATTACAACCCAAGTCACAGAGTGAAGCCGACCATCGATTTCAGGAGGAAAGAGTTAATGGTGGTTTTATTACCTGCTGCTATATCAATACCTCAGCCACTGCGGAAGGGCGCGAGCGTTGAGCGTTCTCCCTCCCTCTCCTTCTCTGTATGTCTGGGGCTCAGCAGAAAGATTCTGCTGAGTTGCGGAGCTGTCACAAAGGGAAATTCAGCGTTCAGGCCATCGACGACCTTCCCCAGAGACAAGGCTCGTCAGAATGAAGAGTGGGTCACAGACCTCTTCAGAGGGGTTGTTGTTAGCCTCCTCACTAGGCCATGTTAGATAATGGCTCCTCTCAGCGGGCGCACAGAATCACTTCAGGGCACACCATTTCTTTCTCTGATCAATTGCATTAGTATAAAAAACATTTGGGCAAACAATATAGCTCAGTATTTGTATTTATTTTATACAGTCTTTTTTGCTCATCTTTATTAAGGGTGTCAATAATTTCAGACCCGACTGTATAGAGATAAATACAGTACCAGTCAAGAGTTTGGACACACCTACTCATTCAAGGGTTTTTCTTTATTTTTACTATTTTCTACATTGTAGAATAATACATATGGAATCATGTAGTAACCAAAAAAGTGTTAAACAAATCAAAATATATTTTATATTTGAGATTCTTCAAAATAGCCACCCTTTGCCTTGATGACAGCTTTGCACACTCTTGGCATTCTGGAAACCTGGAATGCTTTTCCAACAGTCTTGAAGGAGTTCCCACATATGCTGAGCACTTGTTGGCTGCTTTTCCTTCACTCTGCGGTCCAACTCATCCCAAACCATCTCAATTGGGTTGAGGTCGGGTGATTGTGGAGGCCAGGTCATCTGATGCAGCACTCCATCACTCTCCTCTGTGGTCAAATAGCCCTTACACAGCCTGGAGGTGTGTTGGGTCATTGTCCTGTTGAAAAACAAATGATAGTCCCACTAAGCCCAAACCAGATGGGATGGCATATCGCTGCAGAATGCTGTGGTAGCCATGCTGGTTAAGTGTGCCTTGAATTCTAAATAAATCACTGACAGGGTCACCAGCAAAGCACCATCACACCTCCTCCTCCATGCTTCACAGTGGGAACCACACATGCAGAGATCATCCGTTCACCTACTCTGCATCTCACAAAGACATGGCGGTTGGAACCCAAAATCTCAAATTTGGACTCATCAGACAAAAGGACAGATTTCCACCTTTCTTGGCCCAAGCAAGTCTCTTCTTCTTTTTGGTGTCCTTTAGTAGTGGTTTCTTTGCAACAATTCGACCATGATGGCGTGATTCACACAGTCTCTTTTGAACTTATCCTCTGCAGCATAGGTAACTCTGGGTCTTCCTTTCCTGTGGCGGTCCTCATGAGAGCTAGTTTCATCATTGCGCTTGATGGGTTTTGGCGACTGCAGTTGAAGAAACTTTCAAAGTTCTTGAAATGTTCCGTATTGACTGACCTTCATGTCTTAAAGTAATGATGGACTGTCGTTTCTCTTTGCTTATTTGAGCTGTTCTTGCCATAATATGGACTTGGTATTTTACCAAATAGGGCTATTTTCTGTATACCACCCCTACCTTGTCACAACACATTGATTGGCTCAAACGCATTAAGAAGGAAAGACATTCCACAAATTAACTTTTAACAAGGTTAAATTGATCTGTTAATTGAAATGTATTCCAGGTGTCTATCTCATGAAGCTGGTTGAGAGAATGCCAAGAGTGTGCAAAGCTGTCATCAAGGCAAAGGGTGGCTACTTTGAAGAATCTCAAATATAAAATAAAGAAAAATCCTGGAATGAGTAGGTGTGTCCAAATATTTGAATGGTGCTGTATATCTATCTCTACATCTCCTTTGGAGCCACTGTAAAGCTTACTCATGATTTGCATGTCTATATAATAGTGATGCGGGGGGGGGGGGGGGGGGGGGGGTCGATACAGTTACAATACAGTTGGTCAATATTATATTCATATTTGACACAAAGTACTTTTTTTGCTACTGTAGGTAGCATTAGGTAGCGCTATCGGCTGTGGTCTTACCTGCGCCAAAACGCTGGTATTTACATCCTATAGCTTGTCCTCCATCTTCTTTTTAAATAGTAAGACAACATGGTTTCAGCACTTTTATTTCCCTGTCTGATCAAAACGAGGTTTCTCATGCTCTCTCTTGTCTCTCTGCAGCAGACATATAGTGAGCAACATGTTTGAAACATCGAATCGCAATAAAATCACAGTATCGAATCTCAATAAAATCACAGTATCGAATCGCAATAAAATCACAGTATCGAATCGCAATCAAATCACAGTATTGAATCGCAATACATATAGAATCGCAATACATATAGAATCGCAATACATATATAGAATCGCAATACATATAGAATCACAATACATATAGAATCGTGAGAATCGTCATACATAACATATCGGCATCTAAGTATGGTGATAATATTGTAACATGAGGTCCCTGGCAATTCCCAGGGACTCACCTATCTCCCATTACCTAACCAACAGAGAATGTCTCCTGAATGTTTGATAAGGTCTCAGAAACGTTACAGTGTGAATGTTACTGCTCCCTTACTGTTACATCTCTCTATATTTGAGGTTATATACCTCGTCATGCTGACACGTTCTTTACTGATCTCTGATCATAATACCACTCTCCCTCTCTTCTATCCTCTCTTTTTTCCACTAAATGTGGAAAGCCCTCTTTCTCTGTCTCGCTCCCTCTTTCTCCCTCTTTCTCTCTCTCTCTCTCTCTCTCTCTCTCTCTCTCCTCGCTCTCTTTCGCGCTCTCTCTCCCTCTCTCGCTCTCTCTCTCTCCCTCCTCTCACACTCTCTCTCCCTGTCTCTCTCTCCCTGTCTCTCTCCCTCTTCTCTCTCTCCTCTCACTTTCTCTCTCTCCCTGTCTCTCTCTCTCCCTGTCTCACTCTCTCTCTGTCTCTCTCCTCCAGGTGTGAGTTTCTCTCTACATGGGGCTGAGCTCCAGTGGCAGAGCCCCCACAGACACAGAGTGCTGCGGCCCCCGACCCCTGGGTGCGAGGCGGCGGACTCAGCCTTCTCCTTCCCCCCCACCAGGTCGCCAGTCAGAATGGAGGAGTCCTTGGCTGGGGCTCCGGATTCCCCCAGCACACAGGACAATGCGCCACCCCACGGTAAGCCATGTGGCACCTCCTTAAAGAGGTACCTCGACCAAATAACATTTCCATAATGTAACTGTTGTGCAGCACCTTTTTAAAGAGCAACTTTTATAAGACAAAAAAACTTTATTAAAGTTCAAATCTGAGTGGTAGTCATGCACTTCAGTTAATCTTTTAGTTATATTATCTGAGTTAGGAAGTAGTCTAGGTGTCCACAGAATCAACAACATATTGAGGGTTTCACAATTCACAATGTGTTTTCTGCTGATTTCCCGTCCAGTTCTGAAGGATGTGAAGTTGTTAATGGAGAGTTTGGAGGGGCTGAGCACCCCATCCAAAGACGGCGACTCGACCCTGCTCGACCCCGGGACCAGTAGCATCTTGGACGACAACACCAGGACTGACCCGGCACCAGAGGTGAGAGGTCAATTACTGGTGTGTCCGTAAAGTACGTATGGTCAATGTGGGTTGAAGCTGGCTGCTGTAAGTAGGGGTGTAACGATCCATCTACTACATCGATGTATCGATTTATATTCCTATGATCCAACTACATCGATCTGTGCTCGGCGAGTTGGCCTTTTGGACAACATATATCAATCTAACATCGTTTTAAAATGTAATAAATCGATTGTATCGATACTAGAAAATAACCCATTGGATTTAAGCACGTCAGACTTTATATGGATGTTTTTTCTTAGCACTTTTAATGATAAAGGCTTTAAACATTACTCAATTCAGTCTGCCTATCCGTGACGTCATCGCCCCGCGCCAGCAGCAGCGCAAAGGCGCAAAGACAACAAAACATAGCATGGCGGACGACAGAGGAGAAGCCGACGAGCGAGAAATTATCAAGCCACCATTGCGGTCCTTACAAGAAACAGGAATCTAGGAAACTTCACCTGCACTGTCCAGTATCCAGGTATTTATTTCAGTCACACTGGTTGAATTTTTGGCTAAAAGGTTACTGAATCGATTTCAAGTCACTGAATCGTTTCGGATCGTATCGTTCTAAATGAACCAATATCGTCCTTGAATCGTATCGACAACCACGAATCGTGATACAAATCGAATCGTTGTTAAAACGAATCGTTACACCCCTAGCTGTAAGTGTTATTCTTATCCTCATTGGGGGATCTGATGTTTTGCCTTCTTAGGGTGAACACATTGGTTTCTTACTACAATAGTGTGATGTATAACCCTTGGAAGGGCACATTTCAATGTTATGCTTATGAGCAAAGCACTTCAGCTGAACCGCCTCTGTAAATGTTCAGCAGTGCTAATGGTAAAATACATTGAAGTCACTTTGGGTCAAAACAACCTTATAGTGGTTACTCCCTCCCTCTGTTTCTCTCCCCAGGTAGGGAGAAGTAGGTCCAGTGGGCTGTGCTTCAGTGATGGCAAGTGCCACATCGACTACATCCTGGTTTACAGGAAGTCCGGTCCGCAGTCGGAGAAGAGGGAAATATTTGAGCGCAACATCCGAGCTGAGGGCTTGCAGATGGAGAAGGAGGCGAGTACTACTGAGTATTACAGTATAATATAGTATTACAGTAACATAGTATTACAGTAACAGTATATTATAGTATGACAGTATTACTGTAGTCACTGAAGCTCTGCCTGTCACTCATAAACCAACGCAAATGTGCTGATGGCAAGTTTCACCCTCAATCTGGTTTATTGCAGGGAAGCAATTGTGCTGAGTGTGTGTGTGTGTGTGTGTGTGCGTTTGCATGTGTGTGAGTGGCTGCCACATAGTGTGCTGACGCAGTAGCATCAAGGTCATCATCTGAATCATTCAAAGAGACTATGCTGCTTCTTCTCTCCTTTAACAGCATCATTTGCTTCTCTCCTGCATGGAGACGCTTTGTTATGTTTAGGTCCTGCGAGGGTAGCTAGTTTTTCATTTGCCTACTGTGTAGTCAGACTTCTTATGATGACAAGATGCAAGGCAGAATTCTGCTTGAAATGATCAGAGAATGCAGTACTGACTATATAACTTGGCTACTGGGATTTTGAATACATCAAACTCACATAGTTTGGTATCTTTTAAAGATCCTAGTAAAAACTATTCCACGGCCATGACAGCGAATGCCTGTTAACTGTGTGAGATGTCACTAATGGATGTCAAAGGAAATCTATATTTCAACCGTCCCTTTCCTCTCTATGTCCAGTTATGAAATCCATAAACCTCTCTACTGAATTTGGATACACGTGTGGCAACATGATTTAGAATGGAAACATTTTCATTTAAAACATTTGATCCTTCATTATATACCTTTTTAATGTGCTAAGAAACTGTTGTAAGAAATAGTGTTAACAGGACTTAATAGTTCTAATGCTGGGTCTTTTCCCCTCAAACAGTTGTCTGTGTGCAACAGTGATGTGATCTTCCTGAAGCTGCATGCTCCCTGGGAGGTGCTATGTCGCTACGCAGAGCTTATGAACATTCGGATGCCGTTCAGGTGGGGAGACGAACACGCAGCCTCTGTAGCTCCAGAAACTCACACACCTAAATCACGTCGACAGACAGGTTCCCACCACACACACTCACTCTCTCTCTCTCTCTCTCTCGCATACTATGAATATTTGCAATGTACTTTTATTTTCTGTATTTCTTCATGTTTATTAGATAGAATAGTGAGAGACTGACAGGAAAGCTAGAAGAGAGTGCTCTAGAGGGGTCAGATTCTAACACATGTGAGCACCAGTGCATGTGTTCCAGAAGCATAAGCGACCTAGACTGCTAGACCACCCCAAGCCACTGCATTGCATTAATGCACTGAGATTAAGTTTTAATAGTTGATAATGTTGTGGGGTTTTTCAGGAGGAAAATCTATTACATGCATCGACGGTACAAGTTCATGAGTAGGTGAGTGTTAATTGATTTATTTATTGATCACATTTTTGGGGTACGACCCTAATGTTAACGGTCTCTGGCTGTGTGTGATGTGTGATGTGATTTTGGGCTTTCTGTCACCGTCCAGGATGGAGAAGAGAATCAACAGATTTCGAGGATGGCTGCCTCGCAAACCCATGAAGTTTGACAACGACACCCTCCCTGACCTGGAGGAGAACGAGAGCTTTACCGCCCCCTTCAGTCGCTCCAGAATACATCAGTAAGTGTGTGTGTGTGTGTGTGTGTGTGTGTGTGTGTGTTTGTCTGTGTGTGTGTCCACCACCAGTCTGGTATATGGTTTTTCCTTACTAACTTAAAGGTGAAGATTAATCAGTCTTACATCTTTAAACCATAGTTCTTAGTAAGGAAATAAACTACATTTCCTTGTGGGTGTGGTCCAATTTTAGGGGCCTTTTTGGGGGGCTCACAAGCGCCCGTCAAGGCAAAATTATATAGAATGCACTGAGATGACCTCAGACCAAAATGGTGTGCTTTTCAAAAGCTCAATAAATCCAACGGACTGGAGCGGTTTAGAAGAAATATGATCTAGGATCCTTTTCTCTGTCAATATTCTGTTACAGTTTCACCATTCACAACAAAGACACGTTCTTCAACAACGCTACCAGGAGTCGCATCGTCCATCATATCTTGCAAAGGGTCAAATATGAGGAGGGCAAAGACAAAATGGGTGAGGCTTTTATCATCATATAACACAGTTACAAATGGCCTCTGGATAATACATTTACATTGTTGTCATTTAGCAGACGCTCTTATCCAGAGATACTTACAGGAGCAATTAGGGTTAAGTGCCTTGCTCAAGGGTACATCGACAGAATTTTCACCTAGTCGGTTCAGGGATTCTAATCTGCGCCCTTTCAGTTACTGGCCCAACGCTCTTAACCGCTAGGCTACCTGCCGCCTCTCTAAATAGTAAAAGACCACTGCTAGATGTAATCCATGTTTGAGGTACAGCATGTCTTTGGTGTGTAGAGATATTGACAAGTGTCTTCATGTTCTTGTTCATGCTCCAGGGCTGAATCGTCTTTTGAGCAACAGTTCATACGAGGCAGCTTTTCCCCTTCATGAGGTAATGCACTGACACTTCACACATTGGCTTGGAAGAGAAATATCACTTGTAGGATCTTCATTTGAGCCAGTTCGCTACAGCAGGAAAATAATCCTGCGGCAACCGGAAATGTGAATTATTATGTGGTTTATAATTAATGGACATTTTTGTAGGGGTTGATACATTTTCATAAGGGCAAATCAAGTCTGATATTTCAAAGTGGAAATTACAAACTTTAGAAGCCTTTTTTTAAACTCAAATACACAACAAGTTTGCATTTCCTGCTTAGCAGGAAAATTCTCAGCAACAAAAGAGTGATCAAATGAAGATCCTACATCTGTAGTTATGATGGTACATTACTTGCGTGTGTGTGTTAACAGGGGAGCTACAGAAGTAAGAACTCCATCCGGACGCATGGGGCAGAGAACCACAGACACTTGCTGTATGAATGCTGGGCCTGGTGGGGGGTGTGGTACAAGTACCAGCCACTGGACCTCATAAGGTACAACACTGTTAACACTCCTGCTGTATAAGGACATCACAGGTCTAATACAGTGTATTATCTGCACTTTGCAGGTTGTCCCTAGATCCTGCAAGCAATACAACTTCACCAGCCACATGTATTAAAGCCACATTAATTAATTAATTAATGGAGTGAATTTACTAGATCATTAAAAACTTATGAAGCCACAACATCGTTGCGATGGTTGTACATAGTGACCTGTTTGTTGGTGTTTATCTCCTGATGGGTCTGTCAGGCGGTACTTCGGGGAGAAAATTGGTCTCTATTTTGCCTGGCTGGGCTGGTACACTGGGATGCTGTTCCCTGCGGCGCTGGTTGGGCTCATGGTCTTCCTCTATGGCTGGTTCACCCTAGACCACTGCCAGGTCAGGTAATGTGAGCTCACCTGATACTCATTGGTCTTCTTTAATTAAGTTTTACCTCAATGTTTTACCTTAATATTTTATCATTCACTTTAATGTTTGGTCTTGTGCTATTCCCCAAGAAAAAATACCAAACAGACGCATGCTTTACACTGGTGTAAATCTGGCCTTAGTCTGGTAGAAGTCTATTACCAATGCTATCAGTGCGTTAGTCGTTTGGCAGCACTGAGACAGGCTGATAAATGCACTAAGAACTGATGAGTGTATTGAACCAGGCTAAAGGTTGTCTGTGATTCTCCAGTAAAGAAATCTGCCAAGCCACTGACATCATCATGTGCCCCATATGTGACGAGTACTGCCCCTACCTGAGACTCTCAGACAGCTGCATCTATGCCAAGGTGACTTCAGTACTACCATGTAGAGTATGTTAAACGTTTGCCCCAGACTGAGCACTGCTGACAAACATCAGGGCAGTTGTGGCTAATTCCGATCCTGGAGAGCCACTTTGTGTGACTCAAATGATTTAACTAATGATGGTCATAAATGTAGACCACAATTATTTTGTGTTAGAGCTGGGCTGAAACAAAAGCCTGCGTACACTGCAGCTCTCCAGGAACAGTGATTTTGTCATTTACTTTTTAGAAAAATATTCAATTGTTTGACAAACATTTACTCCAGCGCCATGTCACAGTAACAGAAGTATAACTAATTTAGCCAGGTAATCTTTTTACTTTACAATTTAATTTTTAGCAGACGCTCTTATCCAGAGCGACTTACAGTAGTGAGAGCATACATTTTTGTACTTGTCCCCCGTGGGAATCGAACCCACAAGTCTGGCATTGCAAGCGCCATGCTCGACCAACTGAGCTACACGGGACTACTTTGTGAGCTTGCTCTGGAAAATGTCTGACAAACAGCCCTCATTTGCTATCTTTATATACAAATGTTACTACTGTATGTGTTTGTACTGAATTCCTGTTTACAGAAATCATTTCTCTAAGCAATTGCTATTGATTTGTTTCTTGGCTTTAGGTCACCCATCTTTTTGACAACGGAGCAACAGTTTTCTTTGCTGTATTCATGGCTGTGTGGGGTGAGTTTTTATCATTTATTGTAAATATGATAGGTTCAATTTAAAACAAATCTAATTTTATTGTAAAATAAAGTTTAAGAAGTTACTCGTCAGCATTCCATGTACACTTTATTTAAGTTACAGTATTTACAGGGAAGTGGTACAGGGTCCTCCTCAGCGTTGCACAAGATCCCAGGCAAAAGGTGTATAGGGAGAGTTAGTGCAGGGCCTAGCCTCCTCATCGTCATAGCAGCTGGGCCTAGGCAGGGAGGATTCAGCCACTTCTACATCATAACGACAGTAAGCAGGTGGTTTCACACTCTTCAAATCCTCTGGAAGTTGAATGATGGAAGAAGGGACTGAAACATCTGGAATACATGTGTTATTAACATTACCTCCAGTTTAGTCAAATGAAAGGTCTCATTTCAACCTGCTAAACTTTTGATTTCAGAATGTAGTGAGATCGAAAGTGTTCAGTGGATTTGATAAAACAAAAACAAAGGTTTTTATCAAACTAGATATTTGCTTTGGTCAGTTAATGGATCACTACACTGTGTCAAGGCAACATCCCTGGAATAGACCTACCTGTTGTTGGGAGCTTCCCTGTAGAGGGCAGGTTTTTAAGAGCCTGCTTTAGCCTCGTGTCATAACTCCAGCACTTCAGCAGGCAGAACACAGCTAGGTAGAACTGCAGGCCAAAGGTCAACAGAAGCGCTAGCCAAATGAAGACCTGAGTGGCTGTGTGAGAAGACAGGTGGGGAAAAATTATTAGGGAGAGGGTGAGTGAGTGAGGTAAAGGAAGAGAGCAAAGATGGTAGAGACTGATGTGGAGGAAGGGATGATCGAATGTCTACGGTTAATCCAAAATATCCCTGGGGAAATGGACCTAGATTAGGCCTAGCACATCTTGACAAGAGCTCCTAATGGCCAGGGCCAAGCCTTTTGCAATGTATAGCAAAGTAACCAAACAGAAGTTGTAGACTGTAACCAGTGTGGTGGAAAAATCACTCCGAAGGCAGTCCGATCTCAATATACAAAAGCTTTATTACGAGCATTCATGCAAGGGAAAACCAATTTGACTCGCTCTTTGTTCTCACAGACATTGTATACAGACCGAGGATGGGTGGGGTGTATCACATGCCCTTCAAATGAGTCCGGTACTTCTGCTTATCACCACAAATAGTAGGCCCAGAGAAAATCATACCAAGGACATATCCACTCCCCCACAGATCCGGGGATAACAGGAACCATGAAAGATTGTTTGACAGAAAGTTAGAACTGGGCAATTTAGAAACAGTTATAAAACAGACTGATTATAATACATATCAGGGAACAGGCAACCTTACAGACAAGACGAGGAACAGGATGACCTGTGTCTTCTTCAGGTCATATTTGATAACAAATCTAATTTTCTCTTCTACACCAGTCCTCTTCCATCTGTTTTCCAGAAACGTACGCAATTGAACAATAGGCATAAACTATGGCTTTAATACACTTTAGATACCTGACTGTAAACTGCCACATGCTAATCCATACTACCAATAGTGACCAGTCCTCTCTCTATTCCAGATACAGTGCCTTCGGAAAGTATTCAGACCCCTTTTTCCACATTTTGTTACGTTACAGCCTTATTCTAAAATCGACTAAATTGGTTTTTTTCTTCATCAATCTACACACAATACCCCAAAATGACAAAGCAAAAACAGGTTTTTATAAACTTTTGCTAATTTATAACAAATAAACCCAGGAAATATCACATTTACATAAGTATTCAGACCCTTTACTCAGTACTTTGTTGAAGCACCTTTGGCAGCAATTACAGCATTGAGTCTTTTTGGGTATGAGGCTACAAGCTTGGCACACCTGTATTTGGGGAGTTTCTCCCATTCTTCTCTGTAGATCTTCTCAAGCTCTGTCAGGTTGGATGGGGAGCGTAGCTGAACAGCTATTTTCAGGTCTCTCAGAGATGTTCGATCGGGTTCAAGTCCGGGCTCTGGCTGGGCCACTCAAGGACATTCAGAGACTTGTCCCGAAGCCATTCCTGCGTTGTCTTGGCTGTGTGCTTAGGTTCGTTGTCCTGTTGGAAGGTGAACCTTCACCCCAGTCTGAGGTCCTGAGCGCTCTGGAGCAGCTTTTCATCAAGGATCTCTCTGTACTTTGCTCCGTTCATCTTTCACTCGATCCTGACTAGTCTCCCAGTCCCTGCCGCTGAAAAACATCCCAACAGCATGATGCTGCCACCACCATGCTTCACCGTAGGGATGGTGCCAGGTTTCCTCCAGACGTGACGCTTGGCATTCAGGCCAAAGAGTTCAATCTTGGTTTCATCAGACCCGAGAATCTTGTTTTTCATGGTCTGAGAGTCTGTAGGTGCCTTCTGGCAAACTCCAAGCGGGCTGTCATGTGCCTTTTACTGAGGAGTGGCTTCCGTCTGGCCACTCTACCATAAAGGCCTGATTGGTGGAGTGCTGCAGAGATGGTTGTCCTTCTGGAAGTTTCTTCCATCTCCATAAAGGAGCTCTAGAGCTCTGTCAGAGTGACCATCGGGGTCTTGGTCACCTCCCTGACCAAGACCCTTCTCCCCCGATTGCTCAGTTTGGCCAGGCAGCCATCTCTAGGAAGAGTCTTGGTGGTTCCAAACTTCTTCCATTTAAGAATGATGGAGGCCACTGTGTTCTTGGGGACCTTCAATGCTACAGAAATTTTTTGGTACCCTTCCCCAGATCTGTGCCTCAACACAATCCTGTCTCTGAGCTCTACGGACAATTCCTTCGACCTCATGGCTTGGTTTTTGCTCTGACATGCACTGTCAACTGTGAGACCTTATATAGACAGGTGTGTGCCTTTCCAAATCATTTCCAATAAATTGAATTTACCACAGGTGGACTCCAATCAAGTTGTAGAAACATCTCAAGGATGATCAATGGAAAACAGGATGCACCTGAGCTCAATTTCGAGTCTCATAGCATTTATATTGAATACATTTGCAAACATTTCTAAAAACCTGTTTTCGCTTCGTCATTATGGGGTATTGTGTGTAGATTGATGAGGATTTGTTTTTATTTAATCAATTTTAGAATAAGGCTGTAACGTAACAAAATGTGGAAAAAGTCAAGGGGTCTGAATACTTTCCGAAGGCACTGTAGTTCAAATGAGTAATACAAGTTGTGTAATGTATCTTCTATTCTTCTTAGAGAGCTTGGTGACTTCCAAAGCTCAGGCGGTGAGTGCACTGCAAGACTGTGCTCATATTAAAATAGCTGTAGCTCTTAGTTTTTCCGTTATTGATTGCACTGCAAATTCAGACATTGTCTTCAGGGCTTATGGAAACCACTCATACATTCCCCTGTCGTTCATCTTTTATGGTGAGAAATGTATTGGATAGAGGGATTTAACTTCAACATACATTGGATCAGGTATTCATTACACACTCTACATATACTACTGTACTGTAAGTCAACAATTTAAATTCTGTTTATCCAAGAATAATTAATTAACCAACACATAAACAATGGAGCAATACTCCAAGGTGCATTCTATGCCATTTTCACATGCAAATATAGCACTTGATTTGAGTGTGTCACCGCATGGTCTGTGATTTACTCACCCTCCGTTGGTTCTGGCTCCCAGACCCAGACGTCTGGCTGGGAAAGGTCCAGAGAGAAGCTGTCATTCTGTGGACAGCCCATCGATCATCGTCCTTGCACAGAACCAGGACCTATCTAGACAAGACGGAGACATTAGTATGTAGCATTAACTACAGATTGCTTTAGATAACATTTTGGACTTGACAGAGGCTGTCATACTTCTTTCATAAGAGTTTGTGACAGTAGAGATAACATATTTCTACAGTGTATGTTAGTAGCTATGGTTACTGATTGCCAGTGGAGTAAAAGTCTAAAAGTATTTAGTTTTAAATATACTTAAGTATCAAAAGTAAATGTAATTGCATAAATTTACTTAAGTATCAGAAGTAAAAGTATAAATAATTTCAAATTGCTTATAATAAGCAAGTCGGACAGCACAATTTTCTTGTTTTATTTTATTTACGGATAGCCAGGGGCACACTACAACACGCAGACATAATTTACAAACAAAGCATTTGTGTTTAGTGAGTCCTCCAGATCAGAGGCTGTAGGGATGACCAGGGATGTTCTCTTGATAAGTGAGTGAATTGGACCATTTTCCTGGCCTGCTAAGCATTGAAAATGTAACGAGTACTTTTGGGTGTCGGGGAAAATGTGTGGAGTAAAAAGTACATAATTCTCTTTAGGAATGTAGTGAAGTAAAAGTAGGCCAAAATATAAATAGTCAAGTAAAATTCAGATACCTAAAAAAAACGACTTAAGTACTTTGCACCACTGTTGATTGCGAACTTCTTCATGAGTCATGATTGTGTCATTTGTCATCTATTGTTATACTGTTCACTGTTTTGAAAGGTCACATGTTGATCAATGGTCGTTGTTTGTGATTGCTTTACGCAGTCTTCATGTGTACTTAGTCTTCTCCTAATGTGTTATATAATGTGTTGGTGAGATTAATGTATAGGTTAATGGGGTCAAATGCAGGTCATTGTTACACTAAATATCCACCATTCATCACCACAAATCCCTTTTATCTAACCTTCCCTTTAATCCATCACAAATTGGCAGTGTTATCTCATTGGTACAAAGGTGAAATATGTTGAGTGAAATGTTCTTCACCCAACTTCATGCAACAAAGTAGATCGGCTGAAAACGTGAAAACAGGTAGAAAAATGTAATAAACTAACCTGGAAAATGAGGTAATTCATGTTAGCTACACTTCAATAGCGCACTACTCTTTTGTAACAATCCCATAGCCTACTGACATTTTGAGTCTTTGTTGTTGTTGTTGTTGTTAGTCAAATGATGGTAACTCTCAAATCTACAACTGATAAACAACCTAACTGCATTCGGTGCTCATTCAACTGGTAGATTGCAATCATTTTCTGTAGTGCAATTACATTCACATTTACATTTTTGTCGTTTATCTGACACACTATCCAGACACACTTACAATCATATCGGTGCATACAAGAGGAACCACAGCTATAAAATTAGGACAATAAAGCAAAACATTTAAAAATACATTTAATCAAGGCTAAATAACTGTATAGGCCCTCAGATACTCAATACAGCAGGGTTCCCCAACTGGCAGCTCACGGGCCAAATTCTGTGGTTTTATTTGGCCCCCATTTTCATTGTTGGGCATTAAAAAAACACCAGGAAATCAGCTCCAAGTTATTTTAATGTAAGAAACCTGTTCCCAACTATTCCCACACATAATAGAGAGACACAACGTGATCGTATACAAATGTAAGCAAGGTTTGAAATGATTGTTTTAGTCAAACATTATCTGTTTGGGCAGACTTTTTGAAGAAAAAAATTGGCCCACGGCTGAATCTAGTTGATGATCCCTGCAATACAATATCGTTGGACTGCCTGTAAATAAGTATAAAACTCAACCTACCTGGGTTTGTCTGGAGAGCAGTGGATCTTGCTGCAGGGCCTTGCTGTTGTCCAACACTGGACTATTTCTTGGCATTCACCTACAGTAGAATACCCATTGAAATCACTTCATTAACATTCCTCTGAAGTGTGCTCCCCTGCTGCTGGCTCTGCAGAAACATGTGCCTTTCCACCAAAAGAGACCGCTAGTCACTGACTGGCCTCATACAACTGTCTGGAACTACAGAAACATGTGCCTTTCCATTCAGAGCTACTAGTTCAACTGATCTTAGTCCAGCCTCTGCAAAGAGATTGCTCTGATTGTCAAGTGACACACTGGTAAACAGATTGGCAATGGGTAACCCATCCCAAGGACTTTGTTCAGGAGAACCTACCCTCTCTCTCCAGTGCTTTAAAGGCAGCAGTGGCTTGTTTGAAATGACCTATTGCACAGCGTCCATCCTAAATAGCTAGAATAGTGAACGATTTTAGATAACTGAAGTAACGGTATGAATCCTGGCACCCAGCAACTGTGCTGCAAAATTGTCTTATCTGAATGTGGAGAACTACTTGAAGTGATAATTGAATCATTTTGAGTCATGCAAAACAACCTTCCTTCAACAAAGAAAGAGATTAATTTAAATGATTCCTGTTTTCGGCAGCAATGCTAGAGATGGTTACATTTAAATGATTCTGTTTGTATTACATTGCCAACATTGTTTTATGGCTTGAACACAAGTGTACATACAGTGGGGGAAAAAAGTATTTAGTCAGCCACCAATTGTGCAAGTTCTCCCACTTAAAAAGATGAGAGAGGCCTGTAATTTTCATCACAGGTACACGTCAACTATGACAGACAAAATGAGGGGAAAAATCCAGAAAATCACATTGTAGGATTTTTAATGAATTTATTTGAAATTATGGTGGAAAATAAGTATTTGGTCAATAACAAAAGTTTCTCAATACTTTGTTATATACCCTTTGTTGGCAATGACACAGGTCAAACGTTTTCTGTAAGTCTTCACAAGGTTTTCACACACTGTTGCTGGTATTTTGGTCCATTCCTCCATGCAGATCTCCTCTAGAGCAGTGATGTTTTGGGGCTGTCGCTGGGCAACACGGACTTTCAACTCCCTCCAAAGATTTTCTATGGGGTTGAGATCTGGAGACTGGCTAGGCCACTCCAGGACCTTGAAATGCTTCTTACGAAGCCACTCCTTCGTTGCCCGGGCGGTGTGTTTGGGATCATTGTCATGCTGAAAGACCCAGCCACGTTTCATCTTCAATGCCCTTGCTGATGGAAGGAGGTTTTCACTCAAAATCTCACAATACATGGCCCCATTCATTCTTTCCTTTACACGGATCAGTCGTCCTGGTCCCTTTGCAGAAAAACAGCCCCAAAGCATGATGTTTCCACCCCCATTCTTCACAGTAGGTATGGTGTTCTTTGGATGCAACTCAGCATTCTTTGTCCTCCAAACACGACGAGTTTAGTTTTTACCAAAAAGTTCTATTTTGGTTTCATCTGACCATATGACATTCTCCCAATCCTCTTCTGGATCATCCAAATGCACTCTAGCAAACTTCAGACGGGCCTGGACATGTACTGGCTTAAGCAGGGGGACACTGCAGGATTTGAGTCCCTGGCGGCGTAGTGTGTTACTGATGGTAGGCTTTGTTACTTTGGTCCCAGCTCTCTGCAGGTCATTCACTAGGTCCCCCCGTGTGGTTCTGGGATTTTTGCTCACCATTCTTGTGATCATTTTGACCCCACGGGGTGAGATCTTGCGTGGAGCCCCAGATCGAGGGAGATTATCAGTGGTCTTGTATGTCTTCCATTTCCTAATAATTGCTCCCACAGTTGATTTCTTCAAACCAAGCTGCTTACCTATTGCAGATTCAGTCTTCCCAGCCTGGTGCAGGTCTACAATTTTTTTTCTGGTGTCCTTTGACAGCTCTTTGGTCTTGGCCATAGTGGAGTTTGGAGTGTGACTGTTTGAGGTTGTGGACAGGTGTCTTTTATACTGATAACACGTTCAAACAGGTGCCATTAATACAGGTAACGAGTGGAGGACAGAGGAGCCTCTTAAAGAAGTTGTTACAGGTCTGTGAGAGCCAGAAATCTTGCTTGTTTGTAGGTGACCAAATACTTATTTTCCACCATAATTTGCAAATAAATTCATTAAAAATCCTACAATGTGATTTTCTAGATTTTTTTCTCTCAATTTGTCTGTCATAGTTGACGTGTACCTATGATGAAAATTACAGGCCTCTCTCATCTTTTTAAGTGGGAGAACTTGCACAATTGGTGGCTGACTAAATACTTTTTTCCCCACTGTACTTGTCCCACATTGAATATGACACATACTGACCTAGCCCTAACAACCCTCAAACACTAACCTAGTTGTGTATTTTAGCAACCGTGTTTCTCGAGTTCTGGAAGAGGCGGCGAGCGGTCCTTGCGTATGACTGGGACCTAATTGACTGGGAGGAAGAGGAGGTAAAAATACATTCATTATGATCAGCATCATCAATTTAGAAATAACCTCCCAGTTATAACGTGTGTGTGTGTGTGTGTGTGTGTGTGTGTGTGTGTGTGTGTGTGTGTGTGTGTGTGTGTGTGTGTGTGTGTGTGTGTGTGTGTGTGTGTGTGTGTGTGTGTGTGTGTGTGTGTGAACGTATAAATGGTAATGAACTGTCTGCTGTTTTTCAACCATGAAGACCTTTTCAACAAAAAAATTATTACATTTCTTAAAAGATTTGAACAATCATGCCATGAAGGTCCTAGGGACATTCCACTTTTTGATGTATACAAAATATTACAAGAGGGAGCATTGCCTTGAGATTCCCACTCGGTTATGACGAGGGTTGAGTAGCGGGAACTGGGTTACCAAGATTTCCCACCCAAACCCAATCCCTTTTCCCGGGATAAATAACTACAAGAAACCGGTAAATTATTTATATGAACAGCATGATGTGAAATAGAACTGTTAAATTATATGCAATGTCTAAATCTTCTCTAGGCTACGGCCTTCTCTCTGCTATCGCATATCTGCATGATCAATCATCAATACTCAGGTTGGGGACAGACTGCGCATCTCAGTATTCACAATGCATGTATCATCTCATCATGGTAGGGTGACTTGGGGTTAAACGCCCCCCAGTGTTAAACGCCCCCCTCCTGTAATTCTCATAAATTCCACTTTATATCACCCCAAGAAAATTCAACACTTTACACTAGTCTTGCTCAACTAAAAATGTTATCGGCCTCGTCTCACCTTAAGTCACTCCAACAACGATTTTGAGGTACATTGTTCTAGTATTTTTTTTTAAACAACCCCTTTCTAAAGTTTGTTTTTATAGAATAACCAAAAATATATTCATTCTGCCAACACTTATTTTCCTTCAAAATGTGTTTGCCTAAGGATAGCCAGTTTTGCACATATCTAAATCTTACCAAACGCTGCTTTTTTCTGTCAGAAATATACATTTCCCTTAGGGGGGGGGGGCGTCCGTCCGTCCCCCGTCCCCCGTCCCTTAACTTTTTTTTCTTGTGACAAGTAGGCCTACATTTGCTGCAGTAATATAAGGACTGAATGCACATCTAATTTACACATCTCCATCTGGCTTTCGGGGGTCATCTTATTTTTTTTGTTTAAAGATTATTATTTTTTATTCCAGCTGCAGAGTTTTAAAACACCCTATCACTCCAATGTCATTGCTTTAAATCAGTGCGCATGTGACCACTCTCTCGCAGTGTTTCTCTCTGTCCATCAATTCCATTCAAATTGCATCCAAAATAGATAATCCTGTTGATTTATATATACAGTAGATGTCCTAGCCTACCTCTTCCAGGTAATACATATTAGCATTATATGTAGCTAATGAATGATGGGTTCATATGCATAAGCTTCTAACTTTTGCGCATACGCACCCACACTCCTCTCTCCTCTCTTTCTTTAAAAAACACTCCTTAGCTCTTGGAGTCCCAGGAAAAGCTAGACTAGAATAGCTTGCTGGACTTTTTATTTCAGCATTTCTTATACTAATAGACTATTGGAAGAGGGATGCAAGCTCTTGTTTGCTGAACATTAAATACAGCAGCCCATAGAACTCATTGGGAGTTTGAAAGAAGAGAGAATGCGCGATGGCGGTATACTATGGCAGTTATTTATTCAGACCCATAACCATTCAATCTTCGTGAAGAGAAGTGAAAGCCGTCGGCATCTTCTAGTCTTATATTATTCAAGGATGTCATTAGAATGATGAAGATAAGGACAATGAAACTAATTTCATTTAACTGTTGAAAGTGAGGAAGGAATGAAGCAACAATAGAGAGAGCGATGAGGTAGTATAATACAGACGTCGACAACATTAGCGGAAATATTATGAAAGGTGTATATATGTTTAAGCCTACAAATTATAGAAATGTAAAATAGGACTTAATACATTTTAAAATCAAATTCACTTGCCTATAATTGTAACTTTGTAGGACCCATGTCCTTTACCAGCATCACAGCTTCTCTCCCAGCTTCATGGTTTGAGCGAGGTACGTAATTCCAGTCCATATAATACAGGACAGTAACGTAGTCCACACTCAAAGATTCAACACTTTAGAATGACACTTCCGGTTTTGGCGGGAAATACCAGGTTACCCGGGAGAAAAGTTATTTATTCTCGGGGATGGACATTTGTAAAATACCAGGAAAATATTCAACCTTAGTTATGACACTCTGCTGTGTTCTTGAAATACCCACAGTTTGTGTTCTAAAGCTGTTTCAAGAAAGCCAAGGAGACGTGTCATGACTACATTTTGCAGATGTTTGCAGAACATTCTGAGAGTGTTTGTGGCTCAGCCAGCTTTCTGTGTGCTGCAGGAGGAAATCCGTCCCCAGTTTGAGGCCAAATATTCCAAAAAGGAGAGGATGAACCCCATATCTGGAAAGCCTGAGCCGTACCAGGCCTTTACAGACAAGTACAGCCGACTCATTGTCTCAGCTTCTGGAATCTTCTTTATGGTAAGTCCCTGGAATAGGTATAGTGAATATTTCGTAATAATTTAATTTGAGTAGGGACAGATGCATTAAAATGGTTTGCATGTTGCCTCATGCTTGCTGCTTGTTAAACCAGTTTCCCACTGGTTTATGTTTGAATTCATTCAAATCTTCAGTATGTGGCCCATGTAGGAATCAAACCCACAACTGTGATGTTGCAAGCAAGCCAACTCAACCCAGTGAGCAATTAATCAGATTTGCCTTGTTGCTATATGTGTGCCTGACCAGAATGTTTTATTGACCTCCTCAGATCCTGGTGGTGATCGCTGCCGTCTTCGGCATTGTGATTTACCGCGTGATCACAGTCAGCACTTTTGCCGCCTTCGGCTGGGCTCTTATCAGGAACAACTCTCAGGTGGCCACCACCGGCACAGCCGTGTGCATCAACTTCTGCATCATCATGCTCCTCAATGTGGTAAAGGCTTTGTTGAAAAATGCATTTAGGATTATGAGATCAATAAAGTGGCATATATACAGCACCAGTCAAAAGTTTGGACACACCTACTCATTCCAGGGTTTTTCTTTATTTTTACTATTTTCTACATTGTAGAATAATAGTGAAGACATCAAAACTGTGAAATAACACATATGGAATCATGTCATAACCAAAAGCGTGTTAAAGAAATCAAAATATATTTTATATTTGAGATTCTTCAACACTCTTGGCATTCTCTCAACCAGCTTCATGAGGTAGTCACATGGTATGCATTTCAATTAACAGGTGTGCCTTGTTAAAAGTTAATTTGTGGAATTTCTTTCCTTAATGCGTTTGAGCCAATCAGTTGTGTTGTGACAAGGTAGGGGTTGTATACAGAAGATAGCCCTATTTGGTAAAATACCAAGTCAATATTATGTCAAGAGCTCAAATAAGCAAAGAGAAATGACAGTCCATTATTACTTTAAGACATGAAGGTCGGTCAATCCGGAAAATTTCAGGAACTTTGAAAGTTTCTTCAAGTGCAGTCGCAAAAACCATCAAGCGCAATGATGAAACTGGCTCTCATGAGGACCGCCACAGAAAAGGAAGACCCAGAGTTACCTCTGCTGCAGAGGATAATTTCATTAGAGTTAACTGCCCCTCAATTGCAGCCCAAATAAATGCTTCTCAGAGTTCAAGTCACAACATCAACTGTTCAGAGGAGACTGTGTGAATCAGGCCTTCATGGTCGAATTGCTGCAAAGAAACCACTACTAAAGGACACCAATAATAAGAAGAGACCTGCTTGGGCCAAGAAACACGAGCAATGGACATTAGACTAGTGGAAATCTGTCCTTTGGTCTGGAGTCCAAATTTGAGATTTTTGGTTCCAACCGCCGTGTCTTTGTGAGATGCGGTGTGGGTGAACGGATGATCTCCGCATGTGTATTTCCCACCGTAAAGCATGGAGGAAGAGGTGTTATGGTGTGGGGGTGCTTTGCTGGTGACACTGTCTGTGATTTATTTAGAATTCAAGGCACACTTAACCAGAATGGCTACCACAGCATTCTGCAGCGATACACCATCCCATCTGGTTTGGGCTTAATGGGACTATCATTTGTTTTTCAACAGGACAATGACCCAACACACCTCCAGGCTGTGTAAGGGATATTTTACCAAGAAGGAGATTTATGGAGTTCTGCATCAGATGACCTGGCCTACACAATCCCCTGATCTCAACCCAATTGAGATGGTTTGGGATGAGTCGGACGGCAGAGTGAAGGAAAAGCAGCCAACAAGTGCTCAGCATATGTGGGAACTCCTTCAAGACTGTTGGAAAAGCATTCCAGGTGAAGCTGGTTGAGAGAATGCCAAGAGTGTGCAAAGCTGTCATCAAGGCAAAGGGTGGCTATTTGAAGAATCTCAAATATAAAATATATTTTGATTTGTTTAACACTTTTGTGGTTACTACATGATTCCATGTGTGTTATTTCATAGTTTTGATGTCTTCACTATTATTCTACAATGTAAAAAAAATAGTAAAAATAAAGAAAAACCCTTGAATGAGTAGGTGTGTCCAAACCTTTGACTGGTTGTGTGTATGTATGTATGTAGGGGAGGAGATAGGTTAAAGAAGGATATTTAAAGCCTTGAGACAATTGAGTCATGGATTGTGTATGTGTGCCATTCAGAGGAGGAATGGCCAAGACAAAATATTTAAGTGCCTTTGAACGTGGTATGGTAGCAGGTGCCAGGTGCACCAGTTTGAGTGTGTCAAGAACTGCAACTCTGCTGGGTTTTTCACAATCAACAGTTTCCCGTGTGTATCATGAATGGTCCACCACCCAAAGGACATCCAGCCAACGGCAGGCCAGTGGTTGAAAACGGGTCATTGATGAAAGAGGACAAAGGAGGCTGACATGAATTGTGCAGAGCAACAGACAGGCTACAGTTAGTCAACTGACAGTCAAGTACAACATTGGTGCCCAAAGACTCATAAAAGAATGCAAAACTCGTCGTACCTTGACACGAATGGGGTATGGCAGCCAACGACCTTACAGAGTTCCACTTCTTTCAGCAAAAACAAGAAACTGCGGTTGCAGTGGGCTAAGCAACGAAAACACTGGACACTGGAGAATTGGAAAAACATTGCCTGGTCTGATGAATCCTGGTTCCTGCTATTTCACACTGATGCGTGTCAACATTGCAGGCTGGTGATGGTGGTGTGATGGTGTGGGGTGTGTTTTCATGGCACACATTAGGCCCCTTGATAAAAGTGGAGCAACGTTTGAATGCCACAGGATATCTGAACATCATTGCCAATCAGGTGCATCCCTTCATGGCAGCAGTGTATCCGTCTGCTAATTGATTTTTTCAGCAGGATAATGCCCCATGCTAGGATTGTCCAGGAATGGTTCCACGAGCTTGACAGTGAATTCAGCTTACTGCAGTGGCCTGCCCAGTCACCAGATCTCAATCCAGTTGAGCATCTGTGGGATGAGATGGAACAAGCTATTCGGAGTAGAGATCCACTACCAGCCAACTTGACACAATTGTGGCAAGAATTGGAGTCAACATGGGCCAGCATCCCTGTGGAATGCTTTTGACACCTTGTCCATGACCCGATTAATTGAGGCTGTTCTGAGGGCAAAGAGGGGTGCAACTCAATATTAGAAAGGTGTTCTTAATGTTTTGTACACTCAGTGTATTTTAATGTCTATCAGTGGTGAAACCCTAATGTCATGTAGCGCTTTTTGATATAGTTAACTACAGTTGTGCTCAAAATGTTGATAAAAATGTATCCTAACGCCCTTCAATGTCAGGACATCGCGCTTTAGCTACAACAGCATGAGAATAAGGAAAATAAAACCATATTAACTGGTAACCTTGTTTTTTTTTTCAGTTGTATGAAAAAGTCGCCCTTCTGCTCACCAATTTAGGTAAGCTACAAGTGTTCCTCCATCTGTCATCATGCTGTAACATGCCCTCTCTCCCTCTCTCTCTTTCTCTCTCCCTCTCTCTCTTTCTCTCTCCCTCTCTTTATGTTTCTTTAATCTTATTCTCCATTTTCTCTGTTTCTCTCCCTCTGGCTCTATATCCACAGAGCAGCCAAGGACTGAGTCAGAGTGGGAGAACAGCTTCACCCTGAAGATGTTCCTGTTTCAGTTTGTCAATCTCAACAGCTCTACCTTCTACATTGCTTTTTTCCTGGGCAGGTGAGGAAACATCTCTACTTCATGGGGTTAAATCGTAATATCGACCATATTTCACACTATATTTCATTGAGATTGGTTAGTAGAATGATGTGACCACCTTTGTCAGGTTCACTGGTCGGCCAGGAGCCTATATCCGCCTCATTAACCGCTGGAAACTGGAAGAGGTGAGTGAACTAAGGCTTTTCAAATGTGTTCAACGTGGAACATTTCTAGTGGAAAGTACTCTTGTGGACAGATGCACGTAACATAAATGGTAGTAGCATCTGTCGACAGACTGTGGGATGCCACAACGAATTAGGAACTTTGATCCAGTACGTAGAGTTTTAATCGCTGATTATATCACAAATTCGCAGGCGCTCGCATCTTTTGAATTTAGGAAGTGGAGGGGACATTTGTCCCAGAGACTTGCCAGAAACTGTCTGAGAGTTTCAGTTTAGAGGGGTGGAGACTTCACTAGTTTCTTTAGTATATTTCCTAACACGTGTGATGGTGTTCTGGGTGTCCCAGATTAAGTGGAAAGTAGCTTGGAACACTGTATTGTCACTCGAACCTCTGTGTTATGAACCAGAAAATTAGGGTGTAGGGTTACTGTATAGTTAGTTGAACAGTTGTTTATTGATTGAAGTGGCGGCACTGTTTCCCCTGTCTGTGTAGTGCCATCCCAGTGGCTGTTTGATAGATCTCTGCATGCAGATGGGTATCATCATGGTGCTCAAGCAGACCTGGAACAACTTCATGGAGCTGGGCTACCCGTGAGTATGGCCTGCCTTAGCCAATTAGACGCAGATAGCGCCTAGCATGTCATCTCCACCAGTCACCCCCCCGTGACTCTTAATAATTGGTTGTTTGTCAGGCTGATCCAGAACTGGTGGACACGGCGAAGGCTGAGGCAGGAGCACGGCCCCAACGCCAAGGCCAGCTTCCCGCAGTGGGAGAGGGACTACAACCTGCAGCCCATGAATGCCTACGGACTGTTTGACGAATACCTGGAGATGAGTATGTGCCCTTTGACCCTGAGCCCACGTTTAAAGTAACTGTCCAGTGAAAATCTCACTTTTAAAAGGTCATATTCTGTTAACTCATACCCAAATAATGTTGTTGGCTCATCCTATACTCGTATTTGTGGCAAAAACATACATAGGAGAAAAAACACTTCAAAAACCCCATGTCAAACTGACCGTTTAAAAAATGCTTGCTATTTCAACATAGAGGATGATGTCATCCTCCTGAGAAGGATGAGCTGGCCAATCAGTGGTCTACTCAAATAAATGTTTTTAATGACCAGTATGCACCCACACCTTTCTGTTGTTGGGGTACGCCATTCCAATACAGAAAAGCTGCTTTTTAACATACTTAATTACCATTTTTTGGAAGGAAAAATTTCACTCATATTATAATTAATTATAGGTTATATTCCATAGAAATCTGGAAACACTGGACAGTTACTTTAAAACGCAAATAATTTCTACCTCAATTTCATTCAAGCACAATCAATCAATTGACCAATCAGAAGAGCCATATAGACCTGAGTGAGCAACCAAGTAAGCCACTGCTCTGCATTGAGAACACTGAGAATCATTGCCGTCATCATCTTGTATACGGTTAATACACAAGTGCAGAAAACATAGCTAACTCCTCTGTGTAAGATGGGTGTAAAAATGTGTTGATGTTGTAAGTTTGTTATCATCGATAGATCCTCTTCTTTCTGTTTGTCCCATTCCCATCAGTGGTGCTTACACTGTTCTGTTTGTTATGTTCACACGCTTTCACTACAAATGGCTCAATTTTAGACACTTTGGGATGATTGGGACATGAAATGCTAAACATGCTAATATTGGGGATATTGATTTTTGGACAAAAATACTAAAATGTTAGCATTTGGAAATTTGGGTAACACTTTACATAGGGTTCTTATTACTGTGTAATTATTCCTGTGAGTACAGTGTTACAAGTATTGTAACTCATAGTTACACTCCAACTTACAGCAGCACAACTAACCCTAGCAGCACCCCTAGACATAACCATTAGTTACACGAACAGTATGTACAGTGTAGCAATGAGTAATTACAATACTTGTTGCACTGCTTACAATAATAATTATACAGTAATTAGACTACTGTAACGTAAATTGTTAAAAGTTGAGAGAACCTATTGGTCAGTTGTGGGACACCAACTCCGTTGTCATTTCTCCCTGATTGCCTGATTGCTTGCAGTGAACATGAAAGGTACTGTAGAAAAAAATGTTGTTTACTAGTTAGGTCATGAATGCATGTGCCAAATATGTTTATTGCACTCCTTGCCATCATATTCTGCTTTGCCAGGCAAACTGCACATGGAGAGGACAAAGCCCATGAATATTAGCTTAGGACCTAATTACTTCTATAGAACAAATATTTCCACTGGGCAAAACAGTGTCCTATGAGGAGCTGTGGGTGGTTCTGGGGTGGGGAAAGTGCTGGTGTTAGTGCCAAATTTTTCTCCAGCCAGCCAAAACAATAACACACCTGACTACAGTCTATTGATGACTATAGATCACCTCAGAGGATGCTGATTAATCGGGCTAGTTTCTGGGTGGTGGAAATGACCTTTCTGCCGGAGAGATTCCAGAATGAAATACAGCCTACTTGAATAAGTGGCCAGTTCATTGATTAAACGTCACAAGGCCCACATAAGGCTAAAAACATCTGTCATAAGAATACAGAATTTATAACAATTTATACCAGTGTTACAAATGATCCGGGAATGTAATTTACCAAGTAAACACTGGTGTAAGAATAATGAGTGGTTATGTATGATGTCATTATTGAAAAGTTATTATCTCATAGTTAACTGAAGTATAATGCTATACAATTCTCCATGTGAAATGTCCATATCAATCTGTAAGCTCTTCACCTTTAAAGGAATAACATCCTCTAAAACGGCATGCAGCCTCTGCCAACTTTACTAACTAGGAGATATCATTATTGAAATGTCATCATTTCAATATTTCACTATTTTATAATCCTCTAATACAGTTTGACATTTAAGAACTGTTGAGTAAAAACCAGAACATGTTTGGACAGTAAGAACTCTAACCTGCTCTTGTTACATTCTACAATAAGTTGATCTACATGACTGACTTAACCTCTTTGCCCCCTGGGGAACTGGAGGTCGAAGGTTAACCATAATCCAGCATTCGTACTGTGTTAGCTCATGTAAACCATTATATACATGCCATGTACTGTATGTCATGTTTACATTTATTTACCAGCGACATGAATCCTTGTCTATATAGTTTTTTCCACATGTGTATATTGAGGGAAAAACTCCACCCAAAAACGATCTTTTGGTATTTGTTTTATTAGTCCATTGTTGACATAGTCCCAAAAGGTTTTGCTTGTCAGCACTCAAGTTTTCAAGATATGGAACTTTCAAAGTACAGAAATCATCCCTGTATGATGCATTTTGCATCATATGATGCTGCATTTTGCATCATATGCATCATAAGCAGATGATTTCTGTATTTTGAAAGTTCCATATCTTGAAAACTTGAGCGCTGACAAGCAAAACCTTTTGGGACTATGTCAACAATGGACTAATAAAACAAATACCAAAATATAGTTTTTGGGGTGGAGTTGTCCTTTAATTAAGTCTTTTAAGTATGATTATGTGAAGTATACATAAAGCAGGCACATGCCATGTATTAATCACACAATGGTTACTTGAAGCATTTCTCCTACATGTGTTTGATGTAGACAGATATATGTATGACAGTGTCAGATGACCGTGACATTTATGACAATGACAGATCAGTGTAACACTTAGGCTAGGATTCCGTGGTTGCACACAGCATGCAACTATATCCACATGCATGTGTCACTGTTTATTTTAACCCATAATGCTATTTTAACCCATAATGCTCCATAGATCCATTATGTGATGTCTCTGTAGGCTTTTGAATGCTGATTTGTAATTACGCTCGATGTACTACCGTCTGTGACTTCCTTGGCGAGGCTCTTCACGAAGCACAAAATCTAAATGGCTAACTTTGTCCTGTGCAATGCCACACGCACAGTAACAATTGTGACATTGAATGGTATAACCTCAAATCATATTGGCCTTTCAGAGTGAATATGGCTTTGGGTTGGCCATCTGTACAAAATGAAATGGGGTTTTTGAATGGGGTTTTGAATAGGACTACTGTTCATGCTTTACTCTCTGTGCCTGTGTGTTTTTCAGTTTTACAGTTTGGCTTCACCACCATATTTGTGGCAGCTTTCCCCCTGGCCCCGCTCCTGGCCCTCCTCAACAACATCATCGAGATTCGCCTGGACGCCTACAAGTTTGTCACCCAGTGGCGGCGACCGCTGCCCACTCAAGCCAAAGACATAGGTTAGGCTCATCTTCCGCTCTGACCGTCCCCTACTGTAGGGCCATTTTCAAAGGAACGCAAAACATGCCGTATAGACATAATTGTTTTACGCCAACACCGTGCCTCAGCTATTTTCACTCAATAGAACCCTATTTTATTCGTTTCAGCACAGACAACCAATTTTAGCCGACTAGTCTTTTATGCTTCATACTTTTGGAATCATTTTCAAACCCCTTTGAGTATTCTTTGAAGAAGTCCTGACAAAGGCTGCTTGTTGGTGAACCGTAATAAATCATTTGCATCGGAGCAAGAACATTCTTTTATTTTCTCTCCAGGGATCTGGTACGGCATCCTGGAGGGCATCGGTATCCTGTCCGTCATCACCAATGCCTTTGTCATCGCCGTCACCTCCGACTTCATCCCACGCCTTGTCTACGCATACAAGTACGGCCCGTGTGCCGGGCAGGGCCGAGCCGGGGAGAGGTGAGTGAGCCAGACCACAGTGACCACACAGACAAAGTGTCTGCCTTTGACATGTATTATGGTTAGTAATAGAGGGCAGCGGCATTGTCCTGCATCACAATGTCAAAGCACTGACATTTTATTGTTTCCTGTCCAGGTGCATGATGGGATATGTGAACGCCAGTCTATCGATGTTCAGAGTGTCTGATTTTGAGAACAAGTCGGAGCCCAGGACAGATGGATCGGAGACATTTGGAGAAGCAGTGAAGTACTGCAGGTAGGTTTGGTGACCAAAGAGAGTCTTGGTATGGTTGGGCTTGTTTGAACAGAAAAGTCATAACCTTTGACCTTTTGACCCTGTGTTTGACCCCCAGGTACCGTGACTACAGAGAGCCCCCAGACTCGCCCGGTGAACCATACTCCTACACGCTGCAGTTCTGGCATGTCCTGGCCGCACGGCTGGCCTTCATCATAGTCTTCGAGGTTAGTTTGTAAAATTAATTCTATTAAACTCAGATACCGCATGCAAAACCATAACAATGTTCAGCCAAGATTGCATTCTGTAATTACTGTACTATTGTGCTTTTGTAGCACATGGTTTTCACCATCAAGAACCTGATCGCCTACCTGATCCCAGACCTGCCCAAGGACCTGCGGGACCGCATGCGGCGGGAGAAGTACCTGATCCAGGAGATGATGTACGAGGCTGAGCTAGAGAGACTGCAGAAGGAGAAGAACGAGAAGAAGAAGAATTACAGGGCCAATCATAACGCGTTGCCCTGAATGCACAAACAGGTGATACATAACTGCACTGCACTGAAGGGACCAGCACGGAATACTGGACAGGCAATCTATAACAGTTTGCAGGCTGCAGAGTGTGGCGCATAGGATTTACATTTATATATAGGAAGGATAACTCACCTGCATGACCAATGTGTAGCACCACTCATCTGGGTGAAGCACGGCTGTCATTTTATGCCTGAACGCTCAACACACATCAGCTATCGAAGTAAGATTTGCCAATTTGAAGCACTGGATGACAAGGGACCAGGTTGTGCAAGGAAGTTAAATAAGTCATGTCGCTTTTGTTCCTGTTGTCTAGAAGTTCCACTACTGTTGTGATTATCAACTGACACTCTCTCTATGACTCCACAGGTCATACTGGTGATGTGTGGGGGAATGACAGAGAACTGGCTGCATGCATGCCAGGGACTGTCCTGCCTGTCTGTGTCTCCCGCTGGACCAGGTGAGCACCCCCAAGAGGACCGTCCAACAAACTGCATTCAGCATACTCCTCGCCATGGTGTTCAAACGTACTGTATGTCATTCTGATGCCGAGAGGCCAGTGGGTGAGGGAAAAAGAGGACATACATTGGAACATTTGACAATGGGGTTTGCTACTTTTTTCCAGATTTCTCCTTCCACTTTGGACTCACAACTGTACATTTCTTCAAAACCTGAATGTAGATTTCAAAGAAAAGAGACACAAAAAAAACTTTTGCATTTCTATTGTCACAACTTTAAAAAAAGATTCTGTCATCCGTGCGGTTGAATGACAAACCCTGTTTATGACAAACCCTGTTTACAATCCTAGCCTTTTTATTTTGAGGACAAAACTCATGAGAAATCATGATCAGTTGCTTTCACGAGGTTGTAAACCTTCGGCGATGTTCTCTGCTTACATTGTGTGCTGCAATAAGATGTTATTTTGAAACAATGTTCCATCAGATCTGTGGTTGGGGACGCAGACTGCTCAAACATCATATGCCTTCCTTTACAATGGATACTAATAACAAGAGTAATAAAGATTCATATTTATTACAAACCGGTTTTGTAATTGTCCCATTTGCACTTTGATGTCATTTTAAACCTGTTTCAACATCTTTCCATCTGCCACTATTAGAATCTCCATTGAGGTTATCACATCCTTAGCGGGTAGGTCAGGTTGTCAGGACACTGTATACATCACTACCACTAATGTCTCCTCCAGCGCGTTTAGAGGCTGCCCACCAAGTGACTGTAACTGCAGCTACTGTCTGTCTCTAGTGACTAGTGTGGTAACACCTGATCCCCTGTGCAGTTCCCTACTGGACCACCAGGGGGCGCCAATATACCTATCTCCTGACGCAGCCACAGGGCTCAAAGCAATGAGAGAGAGATGGGAATAGGTTTACATTTAGCATTTTGTGAGTGTTCTCACGTATTTTCAGTCAAGTGTCCAAAGATAAACACAGTCATGTTCTGATACTTTGAAGATCAAAAGTATGTTTGTTTTGACCAGTGACATTGTAGGGTGTTTTTTGTTGTGCCCCTGGAGTAATTCTTGTTAGATTAACACCATTATTGGTGTAAAATATCTTCTCAAATCCTTAAAGCTGTATGTTTATTTGAATGCTCTTAACTGTTGGCAGCTTTCTCTTGTACGTTTATATAATTCTTATAGTGTCTACATGTCGATATAATATTAATACACATTTTGCCAAGGGCAACAGTTGGTTGCCAAGCTCCACTTTGTATGCAAGTCTCAATATCAACCACTTTCTTTTATATCCGTAGACAGACTTGTTTCACACATTTCGCGCTACAACAGCCTATCAAGGTGAACTAGCTTGTTATCCCTTTCTGTGACAGGTAACAGTTACATTGAGGACAGATGTAATTTAAAACTGTTACAGCTCCTATTCAGGTTTGAGGTTCAGGGGTCTAATAAGACTAAACAAAAGGATAGCTGAAGAGGCCAATCAAGGTCATGTTGGCACACAGAGCACACTGAAAGGGCTTTTTCATCAGCAACCACAGGGCTGGATTCTAGCAGAAATGGGATGTTCCTGTTTGTATTGGCTGAATGTCATTGAAGAGAGACAGCATTTTGGTTGGAAGTTGATTGTCTTGACAATGGAATCACAACCATCTTGCAACTGTCTTGACCCTGGAAGCCTGAGAAAATGGCTTTGTAATGCCATTGGGAAGTTGCAAACCATTCTGTATGTTTTATGAACACTGCTTTTACAGTATGTTGTCTATGGTCATATTGTGTTAGCATTATAAAGCCATTCTGAGGATACACAGAGCATCTCTTCTTAGCCTAACTGTCTGACCTTGACTGGGATTCTTACATGTGCAGCTGGAAGCTGTTGGAATCTGTTGGAAATCACATTAGCCAAATCTGAGTCGTAGTGATGGAGCTAACGTAATAATCCTCCTGACCCTTGAAAAATGTTTGTAATCTGCTGTGCAGATTTTTAACTTTCGCTTGTACATGATGCACATCACTACAAATTGGAGGCTACAAGTTATATGTTGTCCAGTGCCATGTCCTTCAGTGTGGATTACTGTGGTGTGGTGGAGGAGTTATCTCAGGGTGCCCATCTACACGTAAACTCTCCATTTTTATGATTAAAAACAGGAGAGGGGAAACATGACGTGTTTGTTTCCTATTATGGCGAATTTTCTCCTATAAGAGGATTATCCCTGACACCGGCTTTGAGTTGCGTAAGGCTATCCTGGGAATCTGCGATCATATCAGCCGTGTCCTCATATCCTGTATTTTGGCAGCTATGTCCAATAGGAAGTGGGAGGGACCTGGGCTCATAGAAATAGAATGAATGAATAGATTATAATTCTATGTCTGGGCTACTGTTTGATGGGATGTAAGCTTCATTTGAGTTTTCATCTATTTCGTTCAGACTGGTGACCAGTGTTCCTTGACCTGTCTGGGGTTTTTTTTTCTTCCAATTTTTATCCCTTGCTAGTCTTTTTAATTAATCCATTCTAACTCATTGTCTAATACTTTTTCATGCAGGACTACTCAGTCTGCCTCTCCAGTCTGTCTCAGCCACGATCCAGATTTAGACGTCAAACACAATGTCTCATAATGTTATACCCAAACTTATTGATGTTCAATAACATTTAATAGGAGTTCTCAAATATAGACTTTCAGATTTTAATTAAAGAGACCCCCTGCTTTGTGTGGTTCCATGACTTTTGCTTGCCTAATGATCAACCATGCCTGATACCTGAAAACCCATGTCAGCTCCTAGAGCTCATTCTAAGGCTTTAGCTCAGTGGGCTACCAAATCAATCAATTTTTTTCAATCAATTTTATTTTATATAGCCCTTCTTACATCAGCTAATATCTCGAAGTGCTGTACAGAAACCCAGCCTAAAACCCCAAACAGCTAGTAATGCAGGTGTAGAAGCACGGTGGCTAGGAAAAACTCCCTAGAAAGGCAAAACCTAGGAAGAAACCTAGAGAGGAACCAGGCTATGAGGGGTGGCCAGTCCTCTTCTGGCTGTGCCGGGTGGAGATTATAACAGAACCATGCCAAGATGTTCAAAAATGTTCATAAGTGACAAGCATGGTCAAATAATAATCAGGAATAAATCTCAGTTGGCTTTTCATAGCCGATCATTAGAGTTTAAAACAGCAGGTCTGGGACAGGTAGGGGTTCCATAACCGCAGGCAGAACAGTTTAAACTGGAATAGCAGCAAGGCCAGGCGGACTGGGGACAGCAAGGAGTCACCACGGCCGGTAGTCCCGACGTATGGTCCTAGGGCTCAGGTCTCTCAGTTGGCTTTTCATAGCCGATCATTTAGAGTTGAAAACAGCAGGTCTGGGACAGGTAGGGGTTTCGTAGCCGCAGGCAGAACAGTTGAAACTGGAATAGCAGCAAGGCCAGGCGGACTGGGGACAGCAAGGTGTCATCATGCCCGGTAGTCCTGACGTATGGTCCTAGGGCTCAGGTTCTCAGAGAGAAAGAGAGAACGAGAGAATTAGAGAGAGCATACTTAAATTCACACAGGACACTGGATAAGACAGGAGAAGTACTCCAGGTATAACCAACTAACCCCAGCCCCCCGACACATAAACTACTGCAGCATAAATACTGGAGGCTGAGACAGGAGCGGTCCGGAGACACTGTGGCCCCATCCGAAGAAACCCCCGGACAGGGCCAAACAGGAAGGATATAACCCCACCCACTCCGCCAAAGCACAGCCCCCGCACCACTAGAGGGATATCCCCAACCACCAACTTACAATCCTGAGACAAGGCCGAGTATAGCCCACAGAGGTCTCCACCACAGCACAAACCAAGGGGGGGGCGCCAACCCAGACAGGAAGATCACGTCAGTAACTCAACCCACTCAAGTGACGCACCAAAGACAACGCGGGTTTGATACTGGTCAAATTTGTATACCCCAAGATCAAGGCTCACGGGTAAAAGCTAATTTGTCAGGATCCAGAACTTCAATGTGAGGGTGAAAAAGCTGTAGCTCACCTGAATCACACAGTTCTGGTCCCTCAGGCATTTCCCAACCTCACTGAGAGCTTCGCCAGAAGAATGCCTAGGCCCTTTGGACAACAGAAAACCCCAACACACAACTGTTGTGTTGGTTTCTAACATGGTCTTGTATTTTTATCATATATGTCATAAATGATTTCAGCGCTCCCGTGGGGACAGTGCCATGGTGCATGTCCTTGAATGTCAGGGCCCCAGCTGTCAGCACTAATGTTGCTGATAAAGAGTCCTCCTCACGGGCTGTTTGCACACGCAGATTAGATGTATGACTGTCTTCCTCTGTCCCTGCTACAGGGAGAGAAAGAACCACTCACTGGTTGCCTGGTGTGACACAGCAGCCTGTTCCATCAAACACACACACACACACACACACACACACTTAAGTGCGCCTACAACCCTTGTAACGGCGGATAGATAATAATGTAGTCTAAAACACGGTTGATGATGTGGAAAGCTGCTCTCATCCTGTCCAAACCGTGACCT